CGATACATAAATAGGAAACTATTTATTTTTTGTTTGCTATAGTGTATTAAATGTGCGGTTTCTTGGTTAATAATATTCAGGAAGAATTGGTGTATAATCCACTCCTTTCCTTGAAATGGTCATTTTTAATTTTTATTTGTATGTCAAATCTGGTCATTACTTGGGTAGGTTTGGTGGAAATGTCAACATTGGAGCAAATTTATTTTCAACATAGATTAATTACCATTGAAAACTCCTATTCCCCACTTTGTGTTCTTTTTGGTAGCTGCACTGTACTGGTTTTTCTCTAGGTCTAACAGGGCTTCCTCATCAAGTTGCTTAAATCTTGTGTTTGGTGGGTGTCAACTTTGGTGAAATTGAGGTGTTTCAGAAGTGTCCAAATCCTGAGTATTCTGGTCTTAAGGTGTTTCAGTGTGTTGAGTATTTTGGTTTAGAGGTGTTTCAGGATTCTGACCATTCTGGATTTGAGGTGTTTCAGGGTTCTGACCATTCTGGATTTGAGGAGGATTTACAGGTTCCTGGGTTGTCTCATGTGTTTCAATGGTTTGACAAGCTTCAACAAGCATTTCATCAAAGACAGGAACATATTGCTGCAATACCTCAAGAAGCTCGACCATTGCTTCAGCATCCCAATCATAAGGAAGCTGTAGTTCAAATGTAACAGGCGGTGGTGACAGATTTTCCAGCTCCGAGTCGGATCAGATAACCTCCGGTTCCATTGTTTGTCAATTATACTACAGTAGCAGACGATGTCAAGCACGTGAGTTACATTTATTTTTTATGGTGAAAATAAATTAATCAATATCTTATTATTTAACGATGAACGCGGAGTGAAAATAAATATTGCTATGGGTGCAATCAACAGTTTTTTTCTATGACGTCATATTTTAAGGGACCATGCCTAAGTGACCCTTAGTGGTGGAATGGTTAATAAAGATACTTGTATAAAACTAGATATTACTGGAATCAGAATTTTCTCTAGTTTATATTTGAAATAAAAATATACTGTACTTTTAATATAGTAAAAAAGTTCTATCCAGAGAAAATGGGGAAAAAGTTGCCTAATCTGAACATAAAAAACCTGAAATCAGGTCATGTGCGTAACCCATGTAAACATGATACAGGCACATTTCCCATAATCAAAACTGTATGAAATTCATAGGTTTTTACCTGGCCTTTAATAAAAATCTTGTTTCAGGGTACGGTTTCCTGCTTCGAAAAGAGCTACAGTGGCTGCAAATAAGTTTTCAATTTTCACTGCCAAAAAAACAGGATGTTTACAGTGTTGTCTCCCCTCAAAACATGAATATTTAATCTAATTTTTAAAATTATTTTAATCATTCAACCTGTTTAAATTGAAAGCTAATTAACTAATTTTTACAATCAAATACAAAAAACATGATACTTTTTCACCAATTATATGAATAAAAAGGGATTTCCCTCCATGGTTATTTTTAGTCGGGGAATAACCCCTAGTTTTTTTATACGAAACTGTTTATAGCACCCTATGGTCGAGCCGTATTATCGTCGCCATCTTGTTTGCATTGGTTACAAAAAGTAGTTCCGTCAACGTCGTTTATCCAAAAATAAATAACTTCAAGAGCCACTACCGGAAGCCTTCTAGACCAATCATATAAACGTATTCCCTAATATGCAAATCATATTAGAATTATATATAAACGAAAACACGTTGTCAAATAAAATAAGCCTTGTGTAAATTCTGGTTGGACAGGAATTGACGGATGTAAAGCACAATTTAGAATTAATGTCGGATTCATTGAACAAACTTTTATATCGGATTCATTGCACAAATGTTTATGTCGGATTAATTTTAAAAATTTTTGTCGGTTTTTTTTTACACAAACATTTTGTCAGATTCATTGCAAAAATCATTATGTAGTTTGTTTGGCACACATTTTTATGTCGGATTCATATCTGATTGATGTCGAATGCAAAGCAAAAACTTGTATGTCAATACATTTCACAAACTTTTATATCTTAAACATACAACACACTTTTTTGTCGGATTCATACCAAATATCATTTATGTCAGATTCATGGAACACACCTTTATCATGTTTATGTCGGATTTATAGCACACACCTCTATGAAGGATGCAAAGCACAAACTTGTATGTCGGGTTCATATCACAAATTGTTTGCTGCATGTCTAGCTAATGTCATTTACCAAATAAGTAGGGTATGTAAAAGAAACAAAATCGACACTGATCTATTTTTCACAAATGAACTCTCGCTATATACGTAATCGGTAAACAGAAAGTACAACTTGACGATCAACAGAATGGTATATCATGCTAAAAAGAAGATTGATTCCCAATTTCCGTGTAGTTACTAAGTTTTTATTAGTATTTGGTCAACAGAATGTTGATGAGGGATGAATGTAAAACGCATCACTTTCTACCAAATTCGGGAAAGCTATGATCTGTAGTTCATGAGAAAAATGAAACACAATTTCATGGGACGGAAGGAAGGACGGACTGACAGACAGACGTAAACCAGTAAACCTCCTCCTTCGGAGCGATTGTACAATTATTACGTCACATCACTTCTCAAACGTATTATCTTTAAAGGGTTCAATTAATAAATTCAATTATAATCTATTCAAATGATTTATTAACAAAATGTAAAAAATATCACAGTTACAGTAGAAAGTATATAATATAAAAATATCACAGTTACAGTAAGCATATAATATAAAAATCATGCTTTTAAAAAAGGCAATCATCACAAATATCTTCTAAACAATAGGTACCTACGTGTGCTAAATGTTCTAAAATTCAAAAGCTATTTAAAGATATATGCATTCAAATTGTAAAAATGTTACTGATAAATGGTGTGTATGAATAATAAGGTGTTCGTATCATCATAATTTTGATTTTATTTTTGAGGACATTGAGAAATACTTGAATTAACATTTTAAAATAAAATGATATTGAAACTTGGTTGCAATTGAACTATTACCCGCAGAATATTCATGACTGCTTAACGTACAGTGGCGAATATTACATGATAATTAGAAGGATATTTGTTGATATATGAATATACCAAAGTGTTTACAATCCCGGATAATACTCAGAAAGACATATTACTATACTCATATATATATATTTGTTTTTGCTCTATACCGACCAGTCGTCTTTGCTTTGACTTCTAAATGCCGTGTGCTTTTAACACCCAAGCACGTTGACCCTGCTTTGATGGGAACGCTTGATATCCCGAGTTCGAGCCAAGTACGCTACAATGAGACTATTAAAACGTTGTCTTATTAAGACAAAACTAGTGAATAATAACTCCGAGGTATATTTAAAAAAAGTCTTTCGTGATGGACTGTTGCAATGTTTACGTCTATTGACGAACACTTTATGCATATGCAGGACGATTTTCGTTATCTGAGTTAACTATGTTGAGAAAATTTATTCAGGATTAACAAAATCAAAAAAAGTTGTTAAGATTTTTTCATTAGCAAGTTGTATGTTTCGCGATGATAAAGATGTGATATTTTTCTCATGTTTTTTTCTACTTTAAAGTTAATTTGTAGCATTGTGCATCTTGGAAAATTCTACGTAAATAAAATAATCACATGAAAGTAAAAAGCAATTATGAATTGAAAAAAAATAGTTTACTACAAATTGGACGGACGAAAAAATGTAAACGATATAATCCAATATTATTTTTTATGAATTGATAATATGTACATGTATAAAATGGGACAGAAACTAAAAATCTCAGCAACGAATATAAGTTTTTTCAAGTAATAAACAACACTGAACCACCAATCGAGACATATGATTGATTGTTGGTTGCTTAACGTCCAGTGGTAAATATTTCATGCATGTTCAGGACGATCTAGACATATGAATTGCATACTTGCCAACGCATCAGTGCTAGAAAGGAAAAAATAGAAAGTCATCTTCGACGAAGGTTAAAATATCTTTATTTGACAAAAGATCACCCTTTGTTCATCCCCTTTCATTATTTTTCTGATAGTATTTTATGTCTTTGATTTTCACTGTTTTGCATGCGGTCTTGATTGGGGGGTCTTTCATTTCTCTATTCTTTATTGTTTAGTCCATTTTTCTCTATTCTGTAAACCCCATCCACACCCTCTAGCACAATCATTGCTTATTTGTAAAAGTGAAAAGACATCCAGACAGGTCAATAATAGACAATTACACTTGCATTTTACCCCTTGGTGGCCATGTTGGTTGGCCAGCGGAATCATCGGACACACCTTTTGTACAAGATACCGCCAAGATTGGATCAATTTTGCCCTTTTGTGTCATAGATGACGTTTTTTTGTAAAAAGTTAACGGACAACGACGACGGACGCAAGTGATGGCAAAAGCTGACATTGGCCCTTTGGATCAGGTGAGCTAAAATTGATTTTAGCTGAAAACGTATTTTAATGAATTAACTATAAAAAAATGAGTAATATAACATAGAATTGCACGTAAATTGAGCAAATTGGTAAACTATAATTTGGATAACTAACATTGTAAAACATATCTTTTAAAATTATAATAACAATAAATAATTGACAAAATAAGCAAGAAGTAGATAAACTTTTATACTACAGAACCAATACATGAAATAATGAGATCCGGTAAATAATTGCCAATGAGATAGCTATATATATCCACTAAAACCAAAAGACAAGGCTATAAACAGCTCATCGTTAAATCGAAATGAATTATTTTGCCTCAGTTTTACAACTGGTTTTGAGAAAAAGATACAAAAAGGACTTTGTAACAGGTCACTTTGGGACATATATAATATATCAGTGACCGCTGTAGATAGTAAACTTAGAATTGATAGTAAATAGCAAATACAAGTTATAGCTAGTATATTTATGCTCAAATAATACAGAAAAACGCGAAAATAATTGAAATTAATAGAAAACATAAAAATAGGTGGATGACTAAAAAAAAAAGTCCTATCTCCAAGCAGGAACATATATATACATAGATATACTGTTCCCAGCTCCAAGTATCTATGCTTATATCATGTTAATAATGATTTTCACTTTTAAAGTTGAACTTTAAAACCTTTGTAATTTAAGTCAATATTAAAGATAAAGTTTTGGTTTCCCTTAGCAACAAGTACCGGTCTGGTTTCCGTTTTTGCTGATGATTATTTGTATAATGATTTCATTGTTGACTGCACTGCATCTTCCTTTTAAACTGATGGATGCACCACAGCGCATGTGCCTGCACCACTACACTTTATTATTACCAACACTACGGCTACAGAGGCCACTATAGTAGTAATTGTCACAACTATTATTGTGGTGGAACTGTCATCCTCTGAAAGAAAAGAAAAAACAATGCAATTCACATTTTTTCTTCAAGAAATAGTATATTTTGTATATTAAATACGACTGAAACTACTTTGCACGATAATTAATGTTTTAACAAGAAGTCGAATTTGTATCGATTTGACAAAAACACATATGAAACCCCATCTCATACAGGTGCAGATCTAGCCATTTGTAAAAGGGGGGTCGTTCATATGTTTTATAACAAAAGTAAATGATAAGTTCTTTGATAGTAGTTAAGGAACTAGTTAAAAGAACTGAAAAAATAGTTGTAGATCATTTACTAGAGGCTGAGATGAACGATATTTCATTGGTTTTTTGTGTAGTTTAGGTAACCTTCATAGTAGAAACCTCCAAGTGTTCAGAAGAGGCCTTTAGCTGTGATGTGGTTATGATATGATTGTTTACTATATGACTTTCTGTGGAGCGCATAGACTTGAATGTAGAAGAATTTAAAATTTCATTCTTAAGAGCATCCGAGTAGTATTTAAGGCATACCACCACCACATAGTTGGCTGCTTTATCGGCCGGTACAAACACAAACCGCTTTGCGAGTACTTGAAGGTTGTTTCTTATTCTAAAAATAGGCGTATTATGCATTCTTTAATTTATTTTCAAAATGTGATATTCGAATATCCATAACATTCATACATTTATTTAAGTAAGAACCAAGAGATTTTTTTTTATCAGATATTTCCAGTTTACCCCAATTTTTACAATCTGACGAAAGAGAGTCTTAGTTTTATGACCTGACGACACTGTTTCCAATCTATTTTAGATGGAGGACACTATTTTGGCCCTTTTATCAAAAACTTTTTAACCTCTCTGTTTTGAACGATATTGAGGTCCCCGTAATAACATGGCCATAGGAATCATATCTAAAATACGACGATTCACAGTCTCAAGAGTGTATATGATATGGGAATGCTCGCATGCCTGTGCTGATGTTGATCTAATAAAGTATTACATGTACCAGCTCAGTAGTCAGCACGACATGAAATACCATTGATAAAGTATTACCAACTCAGTAGTCAGCACGACATGAAATACCATTGATATGTTCATTTTCTGTTTATAAAATGTTGAAATACTTAAAATACTACGGTTTTCTAACGCAGGTATTGATAGCTTTAGCTGTATTTGGCACTAAAGAATAATTAAAAACTTTTACTACTTAAATACCTAGTATTTATTCTAGAATCCTTAAAATTCAAACAGATCATAACGATATAACAAAATCACAGATATGACATCAGAAAATGTAGTTTGACGACGTTTCGTGAAATTCTTTACACAAAGAAAATGAAAATACCGCGGACGTTGCGACGCTAATTATAGAAATGTCGCAGTCAAAGGGTTAATAAAAATAAAGTAAAATAAGTAAAATAACAAAAATACTGGGCTGTGGACAGAGTTTCACATAGTGAGTCCCATAATACACTTACATATAGCCAAAAAGTGTAAAATTTATTTTTGATTTTGATTTTGATACATACCAAATATTATCTTCTCCATTCATTTCAAAAAGATCTGCCTACAACACCTTCCATAAAGAATAATTTGAAGGTTCTAAAAACCTTTTATTATCCAGGACAGCTTACGTGATTTGATAACAGATTTTTTATGTGGCATCTTTACAGCGTCATCCTCATAATTTGAGATAAGTATATATCTATTAATTTTGTCCCCTTTACCGTCCCACACAAATCTGTATAGCAAAGCTTGTATCTGACTCCCTTAATATATCTGGGGATATATCTGGTAAAACAGTAAAACATTGAATTAGAATTAGTAGGGCAAGTAAAATAACAAAAATACCAAACTTCAAGAAAATTCAAAACGGAAAGTCCCTTATCAAATGGCAAAATCAAAATAATATTCCTTATGTAGAAAATGGTAGAGAATACGCAGGAAACTTTTTAACGTCAATATACCAATGTCTTGACAACACCCACTGTTGTATGCCTTAGTAGCAGAGAAATTATCGGTTTATTTTACTGAAATATCACTGTATTTCATTGCGACCAATGAATAATATAAAATAACCTTTGAGTTACGTTACCGTATTGTACTGTACTCACCAGTATCTGATCCGTTGCTATCGGTAGTATTCATAGTGCTTGTGTCTGTTGCTGTAAAATATATTAATCATGTATCAATTTTAGAGATCCTTACGCAATAACATGAAAATAAGGCTATCTTACTAATAGGTACGTCAATGGACCGAAAACAATCAACAGAAGTAAACAAATACATCGATAGAACTAATAATATGTAAACAAAAGTAATACAAAAATGCATATCTTGTAATTTTAGACCTTTTTTATCTGAACTTATCTTAAAAAGTTTACTCCAGAATTTATTTGACCTTTATTTATTATAAAGAAATCAACAGTGCAACGTATTTAATGGCCGTCCATGGTAAAAAACTTTATGTATCATTATACCAAAACTCATTTATTTAGATAAAACATCTTAGAGTTAGAGTTGTAGAACCAGATGAAACTATTCTTAACAACTTTGAGATGAAGAACAGCAAAAACCAAAACCCGTATATTCAATACCCTTGATCGGTACCTCTGCTTGTGAACTGTGTTGTAACAGGGTCAATTGTTGTTTCTGTTGTAGTAACAGCGTCAGTTGTTGTTTCTGTTGTTGTAACAGCGTCAATTGTTGTTTCTGTTGTTACTGCGTCCGTAGGTGTTTCTGTTGTTGTTACAGCGTCAGTTGTTGTTTCTGTTGTTGTTACAGCGTCAGTTGTTCCTGTTGTTGTTACTGCGTCAGTTGTTGTTTCTGTTGTTACAGCGTCCGTAGGTGTTTCTGTTGTTACAGCGTCCGTATGTGTTTCTGTTGTTACAGCGTCCGTAGTTGTTTCTGTTGTTGTTACAGCGTCAGTTGTTGTTTCTGTTGTTGTTACAGCATCAGTTGTTGTTTCTGTTGTTGTGTAAAACAAGTGTTCAGTTACATGTAGGTCTGAGTTGTTTTCTCTGACCAACGAACAGATTTTTTTACAACAAAAACTGATGAAAAATGGATAATTACATAAAACAAGTAGGTGTGATACGAGCCAGTATTTAGCCCCGATATTGCAAAATTGGTACATTTATTCCAGACTTTCAAAATGATGTTAATTTCTTCGATAAATAATCAGGTTGATATCTGGACCATGTTACACAAAAGGTCAAATGTGATGTCACTATGACGGCATAAACATGTCGAAATTAACTTAATTGACCTTAAATGCCTAAGTAATAAAATTGAGAATGGAAATGGGGAATATGTCACAGAGACAACAACTCTACCAAAGAGCATATATGTTTTGCGTATGTTACCATTTTTATATTGAAAAGCATTGTGGATTATTTCTTTTAGACGATTTTTCAATTTCACATAGGGAATGGTGGTATACAGGGTTGAAAAATCAAAAGTTTTGATAGAACTAATTTCAGAGAAAGATCGAGAATTAAAATTATCTAGATTTTCTTGAGTATTTTTTTAGAATCCACCATAATATGGTTAATACCACTCCGAGAGAGTAAACAGTTTCACAGTATTTCTGAATACCCCCTTTCACTGCGGACATAATTTTTCATCAATCTAATGGACAATTCTTTCGTCGAACATGCAGATGAGCCGGCAATGTACCGTTGTTTGTACAGAATTTTTTGAAGCTTAGGTATCCAATACAAACGAGGTAAGTCCTCAGATTTGCTGTTCAAAGTTTAACTCATTTGTTTATTCAAAAAAAAATTTTTGTAGCAAAACATATTTTGGGGTAAAACCTTGGCTCATTGATGAATTTTAATGACTATCTCAAAATGAGGCTATTTATTTTTGTAGTTTTTCGAGAAGCAATAATAAAAAACATGACAGACAAAATTATAATGTTAATACTTATATTTGAAATTCTGATATCTTATGTTCATCTACAGGTTTTTACTTAGCAGATTTAAAATGGTTTTTTATTTTCAATTTCAGTGGGCGAAAACAAACGTGGCCTTATAATATATTTCCTTTTATGAGGGGCCTGATGGGTTATTTTCGTTCTTCGTGATCGGCGCATTTTCGCTATCGTGATCCGTTTTTCTACAGATTTTTTTTTTATATTTTCGTGATCCGTGATCATGGAAATTTATTTTCTGTGAATCGTGATTGACAAAAAAGAGACCCCTCCCCCCCCCATCAGGCCCCTCTTTTATAATACTCCGCTATACGTTTTTCAGAGGAGAGGAGGGTTGTCACCAAAACGATCTTTCAAAATATTTCAATTTGTTTATTGATGTTGAGATCATTATGGTGTCTTAATAAAACTTATGGTAACACATTCGGATTTGGAATGTTGATTTAATCAATTCAAATGACAAATCATTTGGATTTTGGCATCACAGTATGCCGTACATATTTTGAACATGTATAGTTTTATATTTTCCAAGAATGGACCTTGTGTGGTATTTCGAAAGCTGATTTCTATACACATAAATTTGTTTTTCAAATTATGAAGGGAAAACAGTGTTGTATTTAAGGTTCTTGCCCGCTCTTTGATATAATTTATGTCCATTTTGGTTTTATCAGATTTTCAATTTTTGAAAAAAAATTTCAAATACTTTTGTGTCGAGTATCACTGAAGAGACATTTATAGTTCAAATGCACATCTATTGCAGTAAAATTCCGTTCCGAACTACCAACCTTTCCTACATTAGCGTAGAGGCGGAAGAAGCATGCCGGTGAGTTTAAATCAAGTGATATCTTACCTGGCCAAGGATCTGTTGTAGTTCCGTAAAATGTAAGGGACCAGCTGTCTAAGGTCACTGGAAATATAAAGATAATTCCATTAGATATATATCATCTAATTTGTATGTTTAATCGTTCTATAAATTAAGTACAAGTCAAATTAAATGAAGATAAACAATACCATATATCTTTGTCGACAATCCATAGTACAACACCATCAAGACACAGTATAGATATGCTTGTGTTACTGTTGGGAAATAGTTTTTTTCCTTGAACATGTTGAAGCATATATGCAAACGATAAGACTGGGAACTAGTTGGTAAATCGTTTGCAAACAGTAAAAAATGATCATGGGGAAATTTAACATTATTTATGATGATGGAGTGCAGGATTTCGAAAATAACATCTTTTTTTCATGGTACAAGGTCCAAAATACTACCAGAGTAACCGATTATGCGTCATTTTATTAAGGCGGCTATAAAATTCAATCATTCCTTCCACACTTATTTGAGTGATATTACATGTAGTTAGAATGCCGAATCTTCTATTAGAGACTTTTAGATTAACTTGGAAAACAGCACCTCGTTTTAATTGTATAAACAAGTGTTTGTATCAATCTCATGTAGATTGTACATTTCTTTCATCAGTTTTATCCGATTAACCCCATAATGTTAAAAAAAATTTTTAAAGAGTGACATTAAAGCTCTGCTTTAGAAATAAGTTACGGTTGAAGCCACACCGATTAATTCATAGAGATATTTAAGATTTGATACACTTTAGGAACACATAAAAATCAAATTTAACATGATGTGAAGATGTTAAATTAGTATATTTCTTCCGAGAAATAACTTAAATGGAACAGAATGATCGTACTCAAAAAAGAATTAGCTAGAAATGATACACAAAACGAGTGATCTCAGTTACTCTGACAACTTATAAAAATACAAATGTTACACACTTTGACAAAATTGAAGCGTCAGACTCGGCTCATTTTGACTCTTGGGGTCTGTTAGTCTACCAGTAGCGATACTACCAACGGTTGTTAAAGGATGTGCTATGATAACATGGACACAAAGCGTGCTTCTAGAACAATGTTCATCAATTTCACACGAGATCAAAATTTTGGAATGCCAAACATATAAAATGTTGGAGAGTGCAAAAACCAAAATAGCATAAAGAAGGGGCCAAAACTATGTAAGATAAACTTTTTTGAAGGGCTGTAACATTACCCTTAGCACAAAAGCATATTATTATGAACAAACAACATTGAAAGATATCATTTGAATCATGCAAAGGTACTGGAGTCTGCAAGATAGTAATCCACTATCCTCGGGGACTCTTCATTAAGCATGTCCGTTCATATGTCTGCGTTTGGTCAATAATTATAACAGTTTTGAAAACAGTAGTTTCAAATGCCAATAAGGACAAATAAGCTGAACTGTGAGCTACTGCTCACTTATTGTACCCCACTATAAATACTTGGTTATTAAGGTGGTACCTAACACTACAGGGAGATAACTCTGTAAAAATCAGCTAAACGTTTTAATTACGTTGTATTGTTAAGGAAATATTAAGCTTCTCAATGATCAAAATTAGTGTTTGTCAAACTGCTATATAACCAATGAAATTTTTCTAATAAAGTGGTTGGTTCAAATTTTTTGAAATTTTTATATTTTTGTCAAAGGGTCAAAGTAAACATTTTGTCGAAATTTTATGAAATTTAAACGAGCCAAATTAAAAGTAGTCAAGGTGTTGGGTACCACCTTAAGAAGTTGATAAACGATGAATGTAAAAAGGCATCAAACTATAGTTAAAAATCTCATCAAAGATACAAGGCATATAATTTTGTCCGCCAGACGCGCGTTTCGTCTACCAAAGACTCATCAGTGACGCTCGAATCAAAAAGTAAAACGTCCAAGGAAAGTACCAATTTGAAGAGCATCGAGAACCATAAATACCGAAAGGTTTTGTCAATTGCAGCTAAGATAGTCCATTCCTGGGTTCGAAAATACTTAGTATTTCAAAAAGTTCAAAGAATTGTAATTTATTAATAATTAACCAATCATAAGTGCTGTCTCATGGGCTAGTTTATGTATATAATCATGCTGAAAAGACGCTTGATACCAAATTAGAAGGACCTGTGATCTGTTGTTCCTGCGAAAGATGCAACAAAATTTCATACATTCATGTATTTGGTATAAAGAAAGGTGGTGAGTGATAAATATCATAATGGATTTCACGGTATAATATCCTTTATTTTTCCTCCTATACATTTCTAGGAATATGATTGGTTAAAAGCAACCGTGTGAAGACCGTGTATATTTCATATTAGGTTAGTAGGCGGGACTAATTTCAATACACGGTTAGTAGTGGTGTTACGTCCCTTTATAAAAACAACACGGTGTTGAGGAAAAATCTGAAAGGTTTCAACAGACGAAGAAATTGATGATAAACGATTAGGCCACTAGTCTAATACCACATGTTAAGATAGTCGGTAAGATAAATTCGCTCTCACCCCAAATGGAATTTACTGACCCCATATATACCATATTAGGTCATTAGCACACTATGTAACTAACATTATTGTGCAATTGACGATTGAATTCGGATATAGATTTTATTACATGGACGTAGCAAAGTCGCTTAAATAAATCTAAGTCCGAGTCACTGAGCACAATTGAAGGGTCTTTTACTAGACAAATTGTAGACAATCATGTAGAAAAATATCTCATCAAAGATACTAGGCTTATACAAAAAAAATACCATAAAAAACTGAGTTCCAAGGAAAATTCAAAAGGGAAAGTCCTTTATCAAATGGCAAAATTAAAAGCTCAAACACATCAAACGGTGAAACGAATGGAAAACAACTGTTATAATATTGTACGCCAGACGCGTGTTTCGTCTACATAAGACATCAGTGGCTCTCGAATCAAACAGGCCAATCTGAGAACAATGTTATCAAATCTACCATCTGAATTCATAAATCCGAAAAATAAAAACATCAGACGATATTGCTAACAAATAAATTAAATAATAAACGTGACTAATATCGGACTTTAAATTGAGTGCTTCACCAATTTGAGCTCTGGCAGTTGCAAAAAAATACCTCTGCGTCTGTTAACTGTTCTATTTAAAAAAAAATCAAGTTAAATATTGAAGATTATGTTCTTACCTGTTACTGAAACTTCCTGCGATCTTAGTTCCAGGATCCAAATTCCAATTGGATTTTCATTCCAAAAATGCACTGACATAAAATCCCAGGTAAGACTCCCTGCTGGTACATTATCAAAAGCGTCTTGTTTTCTGTAGTGTAACAGATGACTTCTGGTACCGGATGGAGAAATTAAATACAAGTGAGTCATACCTCTTAAGCCTGAGTAGGAGAATGTAATGTCAGCTACCACGTGTTCTAGATAATTTATCGATGAGCAGTCACCAGATGTTACAGTAATAGAATCAGATAGGAAGGTATTCGTGCTCCTTTAAAATAATCATGAAATGTTCTTTTAATTTGAAGACTAATATGAATAGCTAGTCGTCTGAATAATGTTACAACTATAGATGCTGGTATAGTAAAGGTAGATGCTTTTGTTTTCAAGAAACTTACAAACGTTGATTTTCTCTTTTGAAATTTGAATTGTTTCCCATTTTGTAATGCAAGGGTCTTTAATAGCTTTATATTTGTCCATTTACTTTTTCTTTTCTTTTTTTGCCTTGGTACAGTTTTCTACTAAAGTTCAACATAGAATAAGGAGATGATGCCAATGAGAAAACTATCCATCAAAGACAAAAAGCCAAGAATTTAAAACATAGTTTACTACAAGTCACCATATGGTATTGAAAAATGAGCATAACCGCGAAAAAAGCTATTTAAAGCATCGGGATGACAAAATATGAAAACCAACGGCCTGAATTTTGGCAAAAGCAATTGAGGAAAAACAAGTATGACAGACAACAACCAACAACAACCACTGGAATACAGGAACTTGCTTTAGACAAACACAAACAGAAACTCACAAGGTCAACAGGGTGTCTTACATCTGTTGACCGCAAGTTAATCATGTATCATAATTATACAAAGTTTGTCTCAAATTAGGTCTAGTACAAAAGATGGTTCATAATCATATACATGTATTGTATTTACATATTCTCGTCCTGGTATGCATAAAGTTTGACTTTGGACGTGGAACAGCAGCCCATCTTCATCATCACTAGATACAGATTTATCCCTCCAAATTATCGCGATAATAATAACACGATATCTTTCTTTCACATTTACATCTGTTGACAACATTACACACTAAGGTAGGTTCTGAATAGTACGAAGGTCCTGTTTTAGAAAACAAATGCATGTCAATCATGTTGGGGTTAACTGTATGGTGAACGTCTGTGGCTTTTTTAGTATAAACAAGAAGATGTGGTATGAGTGCCAATAAGACAACTCTCCATCCAAGTCAGAATGTATAAAAAGTTAACAATTATAGGTCAAAGTAGGTCTATTTATCAACACTTACACAGACGGAGAGCTTGTAGACGTAGTGCACGTTTGTTGTGTTGGAACTGTTTCCCAGATTTTTCCATAGCTCACCATAGCATCAGCGTCAATTAAACCAAAACCAAGAAGCTGACTGACTGAAAATACGGAAAGTTATGCAGATGTCAAAATATAATATAAGTATTCATCATTTTATTTTTCATCTTTTTCATCAAAATCACAATATCTTGAAAAGAACCAGCATCGTTTATTGCCATGTCCCGCCATATAAAGTATATCCTCTTTTAATAATAATATCAACATTCCCTTGTAGAGAACGCTTCACCTAATTTGAGTTTTCAAATGATTTTCATTCGTTCTGAGCAACACTACGAGTACCATCAATGAACAAGGAATTTCTATCCTTCCAAGGCACCTGATATTTACCAATTTTTTTAATGGCTTTTTGTGATTTTATGTATCTGTGTTTTGTATTGTAGACAGGTGTTTGTCTTTTCAATTTTTCTGTTTACAATAGTGTTTTCCATGTCCTTCTTTGACTCTTTTATTAGTGTTTTGGTAACTTCTTCGGTCTTCTTTTGCTACACACGCCTTTCGTCAGAGAACAAATTATGTGGGGTAAACGTCGAAACGACACAAAAAAACAAATAACCCACCGAGAGGTCAATATAACAATAGGGAAGTATTAATAAAATATGTCCAGTTGTAAACCAAATCTACAAAAGCTGTAAATAAATTCAACAAAGACCATCAAAGATCTGTCATTAACACAAACACTGTATGTTTGATGAATTGTTTTCACTGAAAACCTCAATAGGTCAATCCGTAATAATGTTGATTAATAATTGAGTGTTCAGGCAAAACAGATATTTGTGTGGACTGTTGTTTTATTTCTTTTCGTTTTTCTGTTCCAAAATTTTTCTACCCTTCTTTTACTTTTGATTCTTTACTCTCTCTTCTGTATTTTTTTAATTTAAAAAAAGCCACAGTTGAATGTGATTAAAAAGGATTTAGGATATACGTCAATGAGACAGCAATCCAGCAAAACTTAAAATCAAAAGGCATCAAGATGTCAATATATGGTTTTCAATAAACGACAAGTAGCAACACGACGAGCACACGGAATGGAATAGGATTTTTAACCCTTCCGGAGCACCTGGTATTTACCCTGTTATTTTGTTGGGTTTAGGGTTGCTCAGGTGGGTACCTTGAGTTTGTGTATTATGTTCATTCGACCGTAGATTGATTGTCTTTTCATTTTTTTTTTTTTTACAATAATTTTCTTTGATTTTTTATTGCTTTTTTTATCACTGTTTACAGTATTTTTGTTACACACGCATTGTTTAAGAGTGAAAAATGATCTGAGAGCATAAATCGTTACAGAGCAACCCAACGACACAAAAAACCAAGAAGACATCAAGAAGATAACATATGGTCTTCAACAACAGATATGGGTCCGGTTCTTAATCGTCTTCAACAACAGACATGGGTCCAGTTCTTAATCGCCTTCAACAACAGACATGTGTCCGGTTCATAAGCGTCTTCAACAACAGACATGGATCCGGTTCTTAATCGTCAACAGACATGGGTCCGGTTCTTAAGCGTTTTCAACAACAGACATGGGTCCGGTTCTTAATCGCCTTCAACAACAGACATGGGTCCGTTCTTTAGCGTCTTCAACAACAGACATGGGTCCGCTTCTTAATCGTCTTCAGCAAAAGACATGGGTCCGGTTCTTAAGCGTCTTCAACAACAGACATGGGTCCGGTTCTTAATCGTCTTCAACAACAGACATGGGTCCGGTTCTTAATCGTCTTCAACAACAGACATGGGTCCGGTTCTTAATCGTCTTTAACAACAGACATGGGTCCGGTTCTTAATCGCAGAAAAGCTTTGAATAAATTCAACAAAGGTCATCTTAGATCTGCCATTACCACAATACTGTATACATGTTTGATGTCGTAAAATACTATAATGATCGTAAACATATTGTTTCAAATGTAGCGGTTTCACTGAAAAATCTAACGAGGTCAATCCGTAATAATTCGGAGTGTTCAGGCATCTTTTTAACGAATATAATATATTTATTCAGTTGTAGACCATTATTGTTTGATGACGAAATATTATTAACAAACAAACAACAAAGTGTTTATTTTAGTATCAGTGGCCTAAAGTGTAAATGCTAAATTCAGGATGAAAGCATTGTCAAAATGTTTTTTTTTTCTTTTCTTTTTTTGAAAGCGCAGTTTTACTCGCGTAAATCCTCAAAGATTTACTTTTGCTATTCTAATTACTCAAAACTCACATTCTTTTTTTGCCCCGTTTATTGACCAATCAGAGTAGGTGTCATTCAAACCATTTCTGGTTGATGTGAATACAATAAGATGCTGAATATCTCTCCAAGTCAAATCGGGACTGCAAATTAGGAGTAAATTTCAATAGTCCACAATAATTATATAAATCAATTGAAAAATACTGTTAATAAAATGCACTGTTAAAGTATCCGTTGGTAAGTTCTAAATTAGAAATGACATATATTACCGACAATATATTATAAAACTATCAAGAATGCATTTTAAAGATTATTAAAATTAAAACCGATAGTCAAAAAACAGCAAATTAAAATTGCGTACCTCTCAAATAAAACATTATGATATGTTTGTACATGGCAACAATTCTCAATGAAGTTTAACAAAGACAATAAATTAAGTTGAAAAAATTTCACCATTTCTGTCTATTTCATTTTAAAGTTAATTAATGCTTTGAATTTCTTTTTTATTCCCCACCTAGGGGCATTATGTTTTTCGGTCTGTGCGTCCGTTCGTCCGTCCGTTCGTCCGTCCCGCTTCAGGTTAAAGTTTTTGGTCAAGGTAGTTTTTGATGAAGTTGAAGTCCAATCAACTTGAAACTTAGCAAACATGTTCCCTATGATATGATTTTTCTAATTTTAATGCGAAGTTAGAGTTTTGACCCCAATTTCACGGTCCACTGAACATAGAAAATGATAGTGCGAGTGGTCAGGTTAAAGTTTTTGGTCAAGGTAGTTTTTGATGAAGTTGAAGTCCAATCACCTTGAAACTTAGCTAACATGTTCCTTATGATATGATCTTTCTAATTTTAATGCCAAATTAGAGTTTTGATCCCAATTTCACGGTCCACTGAACATAGAAAATGATAGTGCGAGTGGTCAGGTTAAAGTTTTTGGTCAAGGTAGTTTTTGATGAAGTTGAAGTCCAATCAACTTGAAACTTAGTACACATGTTCCCTATGATATGATCTTTCTAATTTTAATGCCAAATTAGAAATAAAATATAAAAAAATGACTTCTCTGTTGTTTAATTGTTGCTACTGGATCAGGTCGAAGAGCTTGTGGAACCGATGTATGATGTCTTCTGCCTTTGCAATGCACATGACACAAACACGTTACTTTTTTTTTCTATTATCCGTTGAACAACCGAAACCATTCGAATGTCTTGATTAAAGTCTGGATCTTAGAGAATATTAATTATCCTTCCGATAACTCAAACCGATTACGTCATGTCGACGACTTCTTGATGAGTGGAGCTAGGGAAGGCTGTTTCATGTGGATACAATGAAAAATTTGATAATGTAACTATCGGAATAAAAGAAGCTGTAGGTAAATGCCGAAGAGACAGCAAGATTGCTACCCGTTAGCGAAATGTCCCCGCCGCTGTGTATTTTGGTTTACAGTCACAAGGTGTGAGTATTCCACAGGTTTTAAAAGTCAAATAACTCCACACGAAAATGTTCAATCAGTAATGTATGGTCAACAACACATGCATGATGACGAACAAAGCTACTCAGTATGAAAACTCTGTCAAACATTCTCAGGGAAATTGCGTTCACAATGTGACATTGTGCAACATTATTTCACAAATGGTCAAGTCCAACAATTCCCGTAAACATTGTCAAATCAAAATGAAGGTAAAGTATGGTCCACTACACATAATGACAAACAATTATACTAAAATTATATATTATATAAAACCAACAATTATAATAAATAATATAATAATACAGTTTGAAATAATGCTAGCAGTTTTTAAAACCAAATTCAAGGTACTAAACCTGGTGTTATGAATCATGCCGCCCTACATTTTACTTCGGTGGCATAACTTATAGGGGATTTCATATAACAACGTCAAATACAAACGGAAGGCACATGCGAGAAGAAACTATGAATGATTTCAATGCAGAAAAAAAAAATTAGTAAAAGGTTGATCCTGCTTCAAGATAACAATTTAAATTAATCTTCCTTTTGGTACGACACAAATGCGGCACCTACAGCCATATCTTAAATATTCGGTCAACCGGAACAAAAAGGCATACGCGATCGGCTAGATAACTGTATATACCAATGAGCTCGAGATCTGCAGTCATTACACAATACATCCAAGAAGTACAATTTTGAGGAAAAGTTCCAAAGTCGGAATTCTGTAAAAAGTCAGTCAACCGGAACGAGACGCAAACTCGACCTGTAATTATCATTATAAAATTGAGAATGGAAACGGGAGATGTGACAAAGAGACAACTGCCCGACCAAAGAGCAGAAAACAGCCAAAGGCCACCAATAGGTTTTCAACATTATGCATTATTGTACGAAAGATCAATATCGGTAAATATTCACAACATATGCATTTATTCTTATAACTTAAAAACGTTCAGACGACCGTTTGATTCTAGAATCACGTAATTACGCAATGACAGAAGGACAAAATGACCGACAAGGGTTTACACGTCACACTAAGAGTAGACGGTCACTGTGTTATTAGGCATATCAAATCAAGACGCAATGATTGAACATTAATAATAGGATTTTTTTAACAATAAAAAACATATATCTCAGACTGTTGATGAACATTATTTAGTATGTATAGAGTCATGCTAAAAATGGATGAAGAATAACTGCACACTTTGTCTGGATGGATAAAAACAGTGGTACAGAGTAACCACAAAACCGGCAACAGCTATTAATAGTACTGTTTAAGCTTAAAGAACTTACTTTGCCTCCAGTGTTAGAGCAACTATACCAGTAACTATAGGTGCTGCGTACGATGTTCCCTGTATACCCTCGCTTTTACATCCTGATGACGTTGTAGTGGTAGTCTGAAATGGATATGTTCTACCTTAAAGTCTTTGTAACAAATAACAAATCGCCGTTTCAGAATCTAAACGAATATTGGTATGTTCATTCTTCGTACCGAAAATGGAAAAACCGTCACGCCTCCGATTGATTTCCCATTGTTTACGACGTTGTTGGCCTGGCAGATCATTTTAGTGTATACGACGTTGTTGGCCTGGCAGATCATTTTAGTGTTATCGACGTTGTTGACCTGGCAGATTATTTTAGTGTATACATACGACGTTGTTGGCCTGGCAGATCATTTTATTGTACTATACGACGTTGTTGGCCTGGCAGATTATTTTAGTGTATACGACGTTGTTGGCCTGGCAGATCATTTTAGTGTATACGACGTTGTTGGCCTGGCAGATTATTTTAGTGTATACGACGTTGTTGGCCTAGCAGATTATTTTAGTGTTTACGACGTTGTTGGCCTGGCAGATTATTTTAGTGTTTACGACGTTGTTGGCCTGGCAGATCATTTTAGTGTTTACGACGTTGTTGGCCTGGCAGATTATTTTAGTGTATACGACGTTGTTCGCCTGGCAGATTATTTTAGTGTATGCTTGTGAAAATATTATTCAGAATTCAATAGATTATGAACTGGGGAAATTCGATGTTGCCATATTATAACGTCTAGGTTAACGCCAATCATGCCTCTAGGAAATGTTTATCTTATCATAGATATATATCAAACAAACAAGCTAGGGGGCCGTCTTAAACTTGCAGTGAGGTGAGAGTTTTTTTGCTCCGTGTTGATGGCCTCACTGTGACTTTGAAATAAAGAACAGCACTAAAAGCGCTAACACTAAAGCAGAAGCACACACTTCCGTGTACCATGCATTTTGACCTATTGTTACACTTGAAATGTCTACAGTATAAATACTATATATAGCCGTCAGTATTACAGTTGTCTGCAGTACTTCCGTTACCTGCTGACTATATATAAATAGCACCTTTACCATTCCTTTCCTTCGATATGTATAATGTTGTTACCTATAGATACATGTTTGCATGATATTAATTTCTTTATCTAATGTATTACTAAAGCACAACGTAAGACTTACAAGAAATCTATCTTCTTCACTGCCACCATAAGCTGCAGCTAACGCAGGAGCACATACTTCAGAATACCATGCATTTTCACCAATTTGTACACTAGTAACAGCTACAGTATAAATACTATTGACATAGCCGTCACCATTACAGTTATCTTTAGTACCTCCGTTACCTGCTGACCATACGTAAATAGCACCTTTCCCATTCCTTCCCTGCAATGTGTAAGTGCCTCACTAGATACTTAAAGGGAAACTTCGCAAAAAAATGAAAAATTCATATTCTGTTCATTATGTATAAAAAAGCACAAATTCATAGATATTAAAGTTTTATTCTGCAAGTTAAGAGATCACCATCGATTTTAAATTTAGAGTATCAATTCTCCGCATGCGGCCATTTTGACATCCTCCCCGAATATTGACCACGATATATCTATAAACCACAAAGGACCAAAACAAGCAGTAACCTTACGTAGCCGTAATTGAGTGTCGATATCTTGTCAAGCGTACGGTTGTTTTATCCGACAAGGAAAGCAGTTTCCCGGGTCACAAAAAAGATTATGATAGACATGGTTGTGCAACCTTTCCTAACTAACTTGATACGGAAAATGTAATTTTATATATATTATTTTTTAAATAACTAGTACTAATAGTATGGTCTGTCGTTTTGAAACTGTTTTGTTTACGAAGTATTTAAAACAATAAATTGAAATTAGTTAAAAAGTCAAAGTTATAAATAAGTGTTCCGTGTAAAATTGTTTTTGAAAATCTAGTTTGTTCATAATTGTTTTATGTAATAAACTTTTTAAAATAAATTCGGACCTTCCCTTATCTGATCACCAGAATGGCTAAAGGAATTGTTCCCAGAGGTATTGTGAGGTGACACGTACAGGTATTCAAGCGATTTCCTGTCGGGCTTTAAAACTGTTATTACACAATTACATAAAACAAGTTCGTGCATCACTTCTTTTCTGGGGGTATTGATCAGTGTACACGGCCGATAACATGTAACTTCCATTTTGAATCTATCAGGTGTAATATACAACTTTGTATAGCGTATCCGATAGTGATATACTAGTCATTGCTAAACTCATACGCTTGTTTATAAATAACATTTTTGGTGTAAAGAATGATATTTATGAAAGTTTAAATAATAAAAAAAAAAAATAATGATGAAATAAAAATCTATTTACACATTTTCCAAGGGTAAAGTGGGGAAAATGTAAGTATATACCCGTTGTCAATAATTATGGACATTTTGAAACATACAAATATTGATTTAACAAAATGTGCGGCACTTGTCGATCATTGGTTTATACGCCTAGATGGAATGTTTAATACGGAACTATGGATAGTCGCAATATAGAACTAATATCATACAAGTATATTGAATATACGAGAGAAACATCCAGAACCAATCTGATTTAAATACAGGTCGATATCTAACTTGCTTTGGTTCATCGAAGCTATAGACATAGTAAAATCACAGATTTATATTTCAATAAGATTATTTCGAACAGTTTAAGAAATTCGTCATCATCACATTTTCCTGGTCCGACATGCATGTTATATATATATGCCACCGGACGTGCACTAATGATCCCCAAAAGCCTATTTGAAGAAATAAAGAAACTTCACTCCGGATAGACTGATGGTAGTTGTATTAACGTCTGGTCAGCTAGAGGGTTGATTTATTTATTTAGTTAGCTTGTAGGGGATTTAACCACTCTTAATATTGCACTTATGCATTAGATATTAAATGACAGTACCGGTAATATAAGAGAAAATATAAATACGAAAAGTCGCATATCTGATAGAAAAGGACTCACCATGAACTATAGGATTGTACGTACGATTGTCATTCTAAATGGCATAACGGACAGTCATTTAAATGCATGCATGTACGCTGTGATAAAAAGGGGTGTCGCAGTTGCAAAGTATTCATCATAAATATATTTCAAATTTATTATTTCCTGTTATTTTTATAAGTTAACGCAGAGACATGTATACACTAGATCTCTATTTAACGACAAGCAACTATATAAATATCTGAATCTGATGTGACTTACCGTTCATCTCTTTCTTTTTTCTCATTTTATTTTTATTTTTGCAGGAATATACACATTGTAAGATATACTGTTCCTCGATTTGGGGGGGGGGGGGGGGGGGGGGTCTGAGGTCATGTCTATCTATCTATGATTAACCTTGACATTTCCGGGTATAACAGAGCTACTTGTATATTACCTGAATGTGGTTAGGTGACGTCCCATGAGGTCTTACGTATACATGTTCATATTTATAATGGTTTCTGATATAACAATTAGGTTTTATAACATTCACACTTCTGCATGTTCTGTTTACCAAATTCGTATCTTTTTTTCAGACCGAATGAGGATGTGAATATTTTCCAGGATCAAATTCATTTCGGGATTTTTTTTATTTCTTTGTATTAAATCTCAGAAATTTACAGAATATACTGCTTGTCCGCTTTAGGAGTTTTCTTGTCAGTTTAAACAGACGTATATATGTCTCTGGTTTAGAGTGGGTTTATGAATGAATGATAAGTCTTACAAAGGTACAAGATATCAAGCACATTGAAAATTGATTTCGACGTTCTGTCTCCATTTAAAAAAGGAAAGTTGACGTTAGATTGATTCTGTTATTTTTTTTAAACATCGTTGGTCAAATAGCTTAAGAATTATATAAATACGTTGTGAGATTTATAATATTTTAATAAGGGCATTCCTGATTAGGTAAATGAAGATCGCTTTGGACGACAAAACTATATTTTTGTAACTGATAATTTTCTCTGCACATTTAAATATTCAAGGTTACCGATGATAATTTAAAATAGTACTGTTTTGATATATACGCTCGTTTTCGTGTGCCATTTATAATATTTATATAATTATTTTATTAAAAGTGATTCAGAATTTCGATGTTACAACAAAATACTCACCTATTTATTTAAAAACTGAGCAAATGCAAAATGTTAAAAAAATATATATATAACAGCGATTAAGGTATTTTGCCACTATATTCCTCCCTTAATAATTAAAAAAAATCTGTCTCATACCTGCAACGGTGAACCCTTGAGGACAAACACCACTCTAGTGAAGATCAAAGGATTAAAATTACATAATGCTAATCTTTTAATTACCGTGAATTTAACCACGCCTTTACCAGGTGGTGTCAGCATAATACACATGCATTGTATTTACACAGTACTAGACTGATGCAAGGATTTGTATAGTAAGACAAATCCTCGACTGAAGTAATAGGGGAGAATACAAACGTGAATTTCTATTATACTATCAGTTATATATGTTGTTCAAAATATCCGTCGAAAAAAAAATCATAAAAAAATTCTATTGTATGATTTGCTTTTATTACTATTATCATATCTTAAACCCTAAAAATATAAATCGTAAATTTTAATTTAAAAAAATGCACGGCTAATCACTTTCTTTCTGAATTGTTAGTTGGTTAATAGCTACACCAAAAGTCGTTGATGCGCTTTAAATCGCGTTATTAGATGATTAACGAACAAGACTTTAAATGAGATTAATCCACTCCCGGCATGCAAAAAGACTTAAACTACGTCACATAAGTCAGGAAGTTTGAATAAATAGAATTAATAATTCCCAATTTTCTTCTTTATTAGTTTTCATATCCAGATAAAACTTGGTGAATATGTTTTTAATGGTATTATGAACATAATAAGATGATAAGTAAAAAATCGCGAATTTTCCCTTTAATATAACAATAAAAAGCCTGCATTGCTCAAAAACTATTTATATTCCCAATTTAAATAATACCTAACTCTCTTAAACATTATCGATCTACTGGAAAAAGTATAATTTCCAAATAAATCCACTACAAAATGTCACATTTCTGTTGCTCTGAATATGATAGTTACCATGGCAACGGAATCAACGTGTGATTTTCAGGTATTGTTCTCAATAATCCGTGTATTTAAACATAAAAACCTATGTATCTTTTGACACTTACTTATGATAGTTAACTTAAAGATGTATTTGCAATGAGATGGTGTCATCATGGCATTCAAATTACCTTGTCGTTTGATCTCAAGGTCAAAACATTTTAATTTTTAGTACATTTTTGTGTTTGAAACACATTTTTTTTCTCCATTGACATGGGCTTTTGATATTTGACACATCAGTGAAGCACCTCAATATGATGTGTCACGTACCATGGACGATGACCTTGACTATGGACCTTTAAGGCTAAACAAAAGGTCAAGGTCATATATTCAATTTTCATATGTCCACCCTAAAACCATGTATTTTCTTCTTTGCCATGTCAAGACCTTTCAATGCAGATAAGGATTTGCTCCTGGGGGTCATGCCCTGCTCCCTCATTTAATAATTTTTTTTATTTATCTAAAAACAAATGGTTCAGAACCCCATCCCTTACCCATATTTAATCTTTATTTTTTATGTTATATACATTTTTACTTTCATATCATTCTCAAGTCTCATCTTCAAATAAAGATGTACAAAAAAATTTGCAATTACTCATAAATATATAGTAAAGAATAATCATTTAAATAGATCAGTTAATAAAACAATGATGAACAACTCATAGTGGCCATGTCAATCCTATCATAATACCTAAGCCATTCAATTGTTCAATAACAGATGAAATTTAAAGTTAAAGATATCTCTTCAATATCAAAATACATGTATTAAGGATATCTTTAAATACATGATTATTAACACCCAAGATTATATTTAATAAAGTTGGGTGAACACTTATATTACATACCTTTTCCAACTATTGAAAAAATTTATTCAGAAAGTTCGAACATATCTACATTAAAAAAAAAAAGAGATGTATATGTGTTTCTTTTATTTCTGTACACAACGTGCACAATTCTGTTTCACTATATTTACATTTCAAAAGTAAGGTATTTTTTCCTAGAATTATATGGAGTAGTCTATATCACAGTGTAGTGTCTAGTTTTTGTGTAAATGCCAGCTGTTCATCTAATGGAAGAGATATCCCAACAATTAAAATACAGTTTCTGAAATCATTTTCAAAGTACACTCTAGGAACTTGTTCATTGTTAATAGTTTTGCTTTTTTTTAACCAGGCTTAACTTTATATAATCTACATTTGTTTCACTAGGTAAGCAATGTAAATAGAAATTAAAATAAACAGTGAACTTTTACTTTTCTTTAACGTCACAAAAAAAATATTTCATACAAACAAAAATATCAAGACAACTTAATTTTTTTTTTTTGTGTACTTTGATGAGTTAAATCTAGTAAAAATATGACAGCAAAGATATTTTTGAAGTCTTGTTTTGATTATTGGATCTATCTTTTTGATTTCTACGGGTTATCCCCCTTGATCATAAAAAAATCAATACTTCTAGTGACTGTAATTTGTTTATCATCTGCACCTTTTTAAATTATTTATGCTCTTATTTTATATTTATCAATTTGTTGACAGACGTTTTGACATTTTCAACAGAATCATAGAAAGAAACCACATTTTGTGTCTTGAAGTTCTCTTTTTACGCTTTGGTATGCTATATTATATATTTTACTTTATTAAAAAGGGGAATATAGAAATGCTTATAATGTATCAAAAGCAGAAAAGTTTAAAAATTGCAATTTCACTGGATCATCTTCCTTTGTACCATTTAAAATCAATATTCATGACATAAGATACTGTATAAATTAGACTACGTTCATTGCTACTTTGACTACATAAATAAGAAGATGTGGTATGAGTGCCACTGAGACAACTCTCCATCCAAGTCACAATGTATAAAAAGTTCACAATTATAGGTCAAAGTAGGGCCTCCAACACGGAGCCTTGGTTCACACTGAACAGCAAGCTATAAAGGGCCCCAAAATTACTAGTGATCAACAATTCAAACAGGAAAACCAACAGTCTAATCTATATAAAAAACGAGAAACGAGAAACACCTATGAACCACACCAACAAACGACAACCACTGAACAACAGGCTCCTGACTTAGGACAGGTGCATAAAAAATGCAGCGGGTTTAAACGTTTTAACAGGCGCGGTTTAACCTTGTTAAATTTTACTAGTATAATGCTTTTGAAAAATTAACACTTACATTTCTAAAATTATCTACAGGTTGCACTTCTGTAAAGATAGACAATGCAATTTCCCATAGGAACTCCTTTTACGGCTAAAACTGTGCCACTTTTTTTACTATGAAGTTTCGTAAAAAGTTATATCCTAGAATGAAAAGTTTATTTGCTCTACTATTTTTCTCAAAGGTCAAACTATAGGACTGTGCGGCATATTTTCAACATTTATATGCCGCGAACTTCTAATTAAACTTATACAAAAATTCTGTACTTCCCCTATCCAGCTATCCATGTGTATTTATACTGGTAAAATTCCCAAGTTGTGTCTCTATGAGATGAAACAAAGGGATCATTTCTGGAAACCAGTAGGTAAACAAAACAAAATATCTCCCCAAAAGAGGCGTGGGTTGTGACACAGTTGTATTTACAAAGTGCAACTTACAGATTGGTATTTTAAATTCATTGATTCATTGAAAGAAACTAGAAATTTAGTATCTTGTCTTTAGGGAGTGATGAATCGTACTTTGTAAAAAGAATCACTCTGATTCAAACAAAAAATTCTCTGAAACTGACATTATCAAGATGCTTGATTTCTTGATTGACAACATATTTGTTACGTTTGGAGGACGTGTTTTTCAACAAACAATCGGCATTCCCATGGGAACCAACACTGCTCCTTTTCTTGCCGACTTTATTTCTTTATTCATATGAGGCTGACTTCATACAGAAACTTCTTAGGAAGAAAGAAAAAAAGTTAGCAGTATCTTTTAACTTTGCATTCCGCTATATACATGATGTTCTCTCACTAAATAACTAAAAATTTGGTGACTATGTTGAACGCATCTATCCAATCGAACTTGAGATAAGGGATACAACAGATACAGTTAAGTTTGTCTGATATCTTTACTTACATCTAGGAATTAATAATCAGGGCCGCCTGAAAACAACTTTTAACGACAAAAGGAATGAGTTCAGCTTCCCTATTGTGAACTTTCCATTTCTGTGTAGCAACATTCCAGCTGCAGCGCCTGCACACGGAGTATATATCTCCCAGTTGATACGATATTCCAGGGCTTGTATTTCCTATTATGATTTCCTTGATAGAGGGTTGCTGCTCACAAGGAAGCTATTAAACCAAGAGTTTCAAGTGGTGAAGTTGAAGTCATCCCTTCGTACATTTTACGGACACCATCACGAGTTTGTTGACCGTTATGGAATATCCGTTTATCAGATGATAGCGGATATGTTCCAATTGTCGTAAATACAATCCCGTCCCCTTTCCCCGAATGTGACCTACCGAATTAGACTTATAACCGGGTTTGTGCTAACATGAGCAACACGACGGGTACCACATCTGTTTACCCTTCCCGCGGAGCACCTGAGATCACTCCCAGTATTTGGTGGGGATCGTGTTGCTCAGTCTTTGTTTTGTTTAGTGTACTGATGTCAGTTTATTTTTAACTTATTGGTTTCAATATCCCTTTGGTATCTTTCGCCTCTCTTTTATGCATTTTTTGGATGAATTCCAGAAAGTACTTAAACGAGAGCGCACAACTTCTTGTAATGGACCAAGAGCTGAATAGTTTTAAAGAGTATGTATTTTTAAGATTTTGAAAAATGCATTTTTACTGGATTATCTCTTTTTGTACCATAAAAATCAATATTTATGGCATCAGATATGATAATTGAATTATGCTCATTATTACTTTGACTAACCTTTTCAAGTATAATAATGCTATATATAAAAAAAAAAAACACTTTCCACGGTATATTTCTGAAATTATCTACAGATTGATATTTTATATTAATTGATTAAGCATTTTTTTAGTAGAATTCTAGAATGTACCAGAACACAAGCCCAGAAATTGTATTAGCTAAAAAAAACAAAACAAGGTATGTTTATATTTTTATGGATCAAGGCTGGATAGTTTTAAAAATGTGTTCATTTTATGATTTCAAAATGATTTTTTTAAATTACTAGATTATCTCCCTTGGAATAATTCACAAAAAGTTTCTTGTAAATTTGTGTACTGATGTGTAACTTAAGTTTCAACACATGTTTATTCAACAAATAATCAATCTTTATCCTATTGTTTCCCCATTTGTAAGTTTAAGGATGCAGAAATTGGTCATTTTCATGGGAAAATACTGCCTCAGACATGGAGGAACTGGTTCCCAGTACATTACAGCATCTACTTACAAAAAGGCATAGGAACCAGATGAAATATTTTTTATGGACTTCTTTCACAATGTTGTTTAAGCACACCAAATTTCAATCAAATCTTATGACCCCCCTTCTGGACTGTTTTTGCATGGTTTTATAGGAGACTGGGTGTTAAATTTACAAGCAAATAGTTGGCTAAGTATTGGGGTTTTTTTTTTTACGCAACCACTTCATGCAATACCTCCGGTTTTTATTTTACCTTCAGTGGTATCATCTTAGTCAAGTCAGAAATATGACAGTTGTTTTCAATTCGTTTGATGTGTTTGAGTTTTTAATTTTGCCATTTGATAAGGGACTTTCCGTTTTGAATTTTCCTTTGATTTTGGTATTTTTGTTATTTTACTTCTTAATAGGTTTACGAGATTTGAACATCGACATACTACTGCTACCTCGTATTGTTATTTTGAATTTAAAGTTGATCAGAAGTAGTATAAGCGAGCATATTAACTTTATTGATCAACAAACATCTCCTTTTGCTCCTTTGTTTGGATTTGTAAGCCTCTGGTCATCATGTTTGCACTTAAAACATTAAAAGCAAATTTATTTGTCAAGCTAGTTACACCAATGGCCAGCTCTGTAAGATAAAAGAAGATGTGGGGTACGTCAATCAGACATAAAACCAACGAAACAAATCGAAACAATGTGACAACTTACATTAATAACTCCATTCTGCAGTGCTGCCTTTGTCACTGTACCAGGACCTTCAAAACCAGTACCATCAGCAGGTCCCCAGCTATTGCTGTATATATCAACATTTGCAATGTTGTGACTAAGACCTTGAGCTTCCATTGAATCATCTATAGCATATTGACCTAATATCCGGATTCCTTTAAAAGAAATGAATCATGTCTCTGAGTCTATAATATGGCTACAAATTATCACATTACTATTTTTTACATGTATATATGGCAGATGAGTAATAATATTGAGTGAGGAATGAGGAAAGGGTCGCTCAAACACAGAACATTCTATATACACAAACTTAAAGGTTTACAAAATGCATATTTGTTCTGTGATAAATAGTGTAAAATGGAAAGTACTCTGAATTGTGACAACTCATATCAAGCTTTTCGTATGTTTCTATGCATTGTTTTACACAGATAGCACGTGCAGTCATGGCTGATGTATTTTATACGGAAATAAAATTTGATATGGTGGTACAACATTTTGTCTACATTTTTAAGTTTCATAAAATATGTATTTGTCCTAAAACTAAGGCTGCCACTCACTAAGGAAGAATTAACCTCGGCTTGTTTTAGCAGTTGTGTTTCAAGTCCAGCATACAATGTACATCGTGTTACAGATATATGTGATATATATATAACCATATGTTACGTACACCCCTATATATAGGTACATCATTCACGAAGGAGGAGATTGAAGAAAACACAAATTCGTCCTTCTCTCCTTTTTGGTATTAACATGAATAAGGAAATAATCTCCCATCTTTATACTGGATACCTTAACTTCCAAAGGAAGAACGTTATAATGCCGGGTCGTCAACATGTTAAACTAAACATCTTTCTAAATTTCTAACCACCACTTTTTCTACAATATAAGATGGCCTCAAGAAATAATGTGATGAGGTTTATGCAACCCGCGGTGTCAATCAGATGTTGAGACTTAAAATTCTAAAGATCAACTCTAAACTCTTTTGTCGGTATTACAACGAGTGCATATTGTGTCTCAATATCGGCTAATTGTTAGTACTCATGTGAAGCAGATTTCATACAGAACCTTCTCACAGACAAAAAGAAGAAGAACCTTCTCACAGACAAAAAGAAGAAGAACCTTCTCACAGACAAAAAGAAGATATAAATTATGTACACGACATTGGCACAGATGGACGACTTCAAACTGGTATCTATGACAAACGTGACGATTTCAACTTTCCAATTATCTTCCCATCTATCAGCAGTAACATACCCTCTGCTCCGTCATATAACGTTTGCCTGTCTTAATTACTACGTTACGCCCATGCATGTTCACACTATGTGGAATTCGTTGAAAGAGGTGTGCTCCTTTCACAAAATTAGTACCAACAGTTATGAGGAGGAACAACAAAAATCGACAAAACTTAAGATTTTTGGTCACAATCACGAATTGGTTGACATATACGGTGTGTCGATGTCTCAACGTACTAGCGTCATGTTTTGGCGTTCTTCGATCTCAAGATACTAGTAAATTCGACTAATTTGTAATTTGACTGATTATGTCATATTCCCGATTGTGACATTTTGACTGAGTGTGGATTCGTATGGCGGATGATGCATTCATAATAGGTGACGCTTACCTTGTCGACGCACTCATTTCCGATTCCTTTGAATTCCCTCAGTTTGCATGCTCTAGTTATTCGGATTATTTTTATTTTTGCCTAAATGTGTACTTGTACTTAGTTTCACTAGAGCTTACATCGCCGTTGACTTAAAGCTGTTTTAATTAAGCCTTAGGTATAGTATTGTATTAATGATATTATATTATTATGGGAAATGCATATTCTGTCAAGTCCAATATATCTTAACATTTGTGCTGTTAGCCTATATTATCACACTCACCTATGAGGGTGGAGTTAAATGCGACACCAACTACACAGATATTGTTATCTTTCACCGCTGCAATTAATCCACTTACTTGTGTACCATGACTGGAACCAAATATGAAATTATAACAAGTATTGCAGAATTGTCTTTATTTAATATTTAATAAAAAGACTCAGAGCTGCCTACTTTATTGAAAAAATCACCATAAAGATTGCTGTTATATAGCATGCCATATAGACTTGCTACATGTCCCTTCCTAATTTTCTTCTTTTCCTTCAATTTCGCCCCTTTAACAATTTTACTGCTATAAAAAAGAGATTTCCATTATACTGACATCTCCAAGGGCAATCAGTATACTGTCAGTTTTCAGTAAACATATGAATTAGTAAGAAAGAAATAAAAGAAATGGAATTTTAGGAATTCTACATGCCATACATCATGACCTGAAGTATGATCTAAGCATATCTATAACTGCACAAACGTATAATATAGTCAAACGAAAAACAAGAAATAATTGTTTGGTGTATGGGTTATTCCATCGTCGTACCCTAAATTGAATACTAGGCTAATAAAACGCAACGTCATTAGGTGGATTTCATTGTTTATGACATTTAACAAATCACAACGTTTTTGATGCACGCTATTGAAAATATTACATCAATGTACTAGATTTTGAAATTCCTATTTGCTTTTTCTGTGTCCATTGTGCATATTTTGAATTAATGTTATCAGAAATCCGCATATATATATGTTGTGGACAAGTTATCATTTTGTACAAATTATAATTTGTACAAAAAACTGTACAAATTATAATTTGTAAAAAAAAACTGTACAAATTATAATTTGTATTTTGACTTTGTATAAATTGTTATTTGTACAAAAAGTGCTTGATACAGACTAAGAAATTTTATTCAATGACCACACAATAAACCTTGTTTACAAAATACAAAAACACCCAGATGGAGACAGGAAATGCAATTGATACATGCATGCCAGTTAATTCTGATAGTACAATAGAAATTGGCCCGAGTGACAATTCTGATAGAATAATAAAAATTGTCCCCAGTGACAATTCTGATAGTATAATAGAAATTGGCCCCAGTGACAATTCTGATAGTATAATAGAAATTGGCCCCAGTGACAATTCTGATAGTATAATAAAAATTGGCCCCAGTGACAATTCTGATAGTATAACAGAAATTGGCCCCAGTGACAATCAGGATGACACTGACGTTGAAACACCAATCATACGTGCCATGAAGCGTGCGCTGTCTGGTCAACAGGTCCAAGGCGAATATCTAACCAAGAAAACGAAACGGAAATTATCAGAACTTGCTGTGGGGGATAATGTCATTATACCAATTATTTAGTATGATCGTTCCCCAACTAATCCTCGAAATATCTTAGGTGTAATTATTGAATGTGGGGAATTTGGGTACCACATTGGAACAGCTGTAGGTTTAAATAGGATATTTGTCGAGAAATCAAATTGAAGCTGTTAAAGACACATCTTTATTCGCAGCAACGATTCATGAGCTTCAACTTTCGCTACGTGAAGCAGTTAAAAAGCTTTCAGGTGGTTATGGGTTTCTTTTATGTAAATGCAAAGGGGGAGCAGCACTTCTAAATGTAAATGTAAAAAGAAAAGGATGCCATAATTCTCTCACAGGCTCAAACAAATGATACAGAACTATTTTTGCATTTTGTAAATAAGATTTATTGTGTGATCATTGAATAAAACTTTTATAGTGTGTATCAATGTTTTTATAACAAAATCCATACTATAAATTATCGTACAAGTTATAAGTGAATTTTAGTCAAATTTTGTAATTATAATTTGGTCAAAATGATAACTTGTACACAACATATACATATTACACACAAGAACGTTGTGTAGTCTGTAAATTTCCCCTTCAAGATCCGTTTGTGTTCTGTGTAATTAAAAAAATTACTGATATCTAATTTAATTCTGACTTCATTTTGATACGGTTGTATTGTTATTGGTCAGGCAGGGCTTTCGCGTCGTTACCTTTCATTATATGATCCATTTATGGATGGCCCCATTGCTTTCTAAATATTTCAAAAGTTACAGTTATGAGTATAACCATTTTATATTAAATATGTACTACAGTCTGGTATATTTTTTAGACCTACATTAGGGAGCTACCATTTGATTTTTATGGGGGGCTAGGATGAAATTTGAAAAAAATAGGCAGGACAGGAGTTTTGAGTAAAAAAAAAAGGCAGGATGAGACACTTTGCAAAAAAAAAAAAGACAGGATGACAATTTATGTAAAAAAAAAGTCAGGATAAACTTTAAAAAAAAAGGCAGGACCGAAAAGAGTGAAAAATAAAAAGGCAGGACAGAGATTACAACTAAAAAAAAAGGCGGGACACAATTTTTCATCCTAGCCCCCCCCCCCCCCCCCCCATAAAAATCAAATGGCAGCTCCCTTAGTGGTTCTACACCCTTACGACCGGTTTACCAAATGAAATATTGATACCTTGTAGCAGTTATTTACTCCTACAAGTTGAACGTTGTTTATAAAAATACTAAGTTTTGTAAAATTGTATTAGCAGTTGTTAACTATCATGTCCATTTCGAGTCGGTTGCCTCCCTTAAAACATACTACTACTTGTGTATACACATGTGTTAAGGGAGCTACCATTTCATTTTTATGGGGGGGGGGGGGGGGGGGGCTAGGATGAAAAATTTTGTCCTGCTTTTTTTTTAACTGTAATCTCTGTCCTACCTTTTTATTTTTCACTCTAATCGGTCCTGCCTTCTTTTTTTTTTAGTTTATCCTGACTTTTTTTACCTAAATTGTCGTCCTGACTTTTTTTTTTTGCAAATGACTCATCCTGCCTTTTTTTTTTACTCAAAACTCCTGTCCTGCCTATTTTTTCAAATTTCATCCTAGCCCCCCTCCCCCATAAAAGTCAAATGGAAGCTCCCTAATGAATATCAATAATACTAGAACACACCCGCGACATCGCGGGTCCGTGACTGAATTAAAGTACATATGCCTTATTTTCAGCCTGGATTTTTAGTTTTCGTATTGTCATCTGATAAAGTCATGCTGATTGTAAGGTGCACAGTTTTCTCTGCTTTCAAAATCTTTTTGTTTGAACCCGTCCTGGTTTTCTTACTACAATAAACTTACTATAAACTACATTCAATTTTTTTAACTTACTTACCAAAATTAATATTGGTAGTGAGGTGGAAGAAAACAGATTTGTTAAACAGTGTACTATCATAATGTAACAAAGATATAAAACAACTACTGGAAGAATTCCAGGTTCTCCTGATAGAGGAGGGATTTACAGAAAGTAACAGGTAGCTACAACCGGAAACCTCATGTGACATATACTATTGGTATCGGTATCGAACTTGTTAATTATTGGTAATATTAGTTATGTGGAACACAAAAGGGCATGGAATAGTGTAATTTTTTAACAACATCATTGTCCTAAATTAGTTATAAATAAAGTTGAATTCTTTGATTCGTCGTTTTTACGTCATGCCGGCTAACAAATTGGACCTCGTTATTTTAGCAGTATAGATTCACTGCCGTACTTTATTGTATTTTAAATGTATGAAATTGTTTGTAACTTTTCACACACTAGTACTCCTATTTAAGTCTTTGGGAAAATAAAACTTGAATCATGTTTGCCCCGTGAGTCTTTACGCCATGCTTCCCGTTTGCCCTGGGTCGTGAGGATATTTTGAAGATTCCGATCCCCCTCCCCAAAAATATGGTCATGTTTCAACAAAACAAAATAAGACGTACGGATTTTAAAAAGAATAAGGATTCTTCAGTGTTTAGTGTAGTTTGGTTTCCATTTCATTGACGCGTACACCGCATTTACTTTAATCAAATCAGGGTTTTCGCCTAGATTCCTGTTTGCAACATATGTTTTGGTTGTGCATAGAGATTGTGCATAATTATGGTGGTATAAAAGCTTTTTGGGGTAATATATGAAAGGTCTTTGATGACCACTAACGATGGTCGTTTGAATCTTCAAAATATTTAACCAACAGACCAGTAAATTCTTGCAAGTCGAAATTAAAAAAGAATATAGTATGGCGTTCGTGCTTACCTACTGTCTGTATTAGAATCCGGATTATTATCCTCACCATAAATGTCTATGTCATTAATAGTATCCTGAAATACAGAGGTAGCCATACAAAATAAATGAATATAACATGTTCAGTTAAGAATTTCCAAATAATATGAAAAATATCTGAGAAAATATCGACTGTCATGTCTGACAATTTTTCAATTTATTTTAGACCTCTCTATGTATTTATATATCTTTGACGCTAAAAATGTTGGGAATGGAACATTGCTAGTATTTAATCCAGAAAAGCATCAAACCATTAAAATCTGGCATGTTTCTGCTTGATGTGCTACACATTGGTTGACAGTACTACCAGGGCAGTATGACTTGTGTAACGGTTGTATAGTTGAAGACTGCATGTTGCCCTCTAGAGACTGTATGTTGCCCTCTAGAGTTTAAAATTTCAGATAACTTTTGAGTAGGTAAATTCTAGGTAAAAGTATATGTTGTCTTTTTCTTTATACTATTATTGTTCGATTTTTTTTGTATTATAAAACCAATCGCTTTTTAAGTTATACTGTGCGGTCCTAAACATGGAACGTAAAAAATGGTTTCCCTAAAAAGTTTCTTTTTTCACGTAAAACAGGCGCTGCAGGGCGAATTCACTTGAACGTTATACAATTGTGAAAATAAAGGAAACACCGGATAATGGGAAGGATTACGTGTATTTTCTTTCAGTTTAACACACACGATTTAAGTATTATTGGAGTTGAAGATATTTTAAAATTTCAGTTTGAGTATAATTGAATGTATTTATACAATCAATGGTTTACAAAAAATGGTAACCGTATGAATGAATGTGCCGATTGCAATATATTGTTCAAGAAAACGAACGGTACATGTACTCAATAAGGCAACACATGACCAAACTAAATAAATACATGTGTATGTTGTTCTCCGGACTTTTACTTCAAAAACAAATGGCGAGCAAGCAAGCACTAATTCAATTTTAATTCCCTCCTTAATATGTTAATATTCCACGAGAAGCCTACACTATGATGAGGATAAAATACATTTTATACACTTAGTAGAAAATACAAGTAAAATTGAGAATGGAAATGGGGAATGTGTCAAAGAAACAACAACCCGACCAAAGAGCAGAAAACAGCCGAAGGCCACCAATGGGTCTTCAATACAGCGAGAAAATCCCGCACCCGGAGACGTGCTTCAGCAGGCCCCTAAACAAAAATATGCACTAGTTCAGTAGTAATGGACGTCATACTAAACTCCGAAATATATAAAAGAAACTAAAATTAAAAATTATACAAGACTAACAAAGGCCAGAGGCTCCTGACTTGGGACGGACGCAAAAATGCGGCGGGGTTAAACATGTTTTTTGAGATCTCAACCCTCCCCCTATACCTCTAGCCAATGTAGAAAAAACAAACACACAGCAATACGCACAGTGAAACTCAGTTTAAAAGAAGCCCGAGTCCGATGTCAGAATAGGTAACAAAAGAAACTAAACAAAATGACAATGATACATAAATTAACAAAGGACTACTAGCAGTTACTGACATGCTAGCTCCAGACCTCAATTAAACTGATTGAAATATTATGTCTTCATCATATGAATATCAAGCACAATCCCTCCCGTTAGGGGTTTAGTATCATACCATCATAAAATATATGAGAAGAACATAACCCGTATCATGCCAACAACTGGTTTTAGAATAAATGTGTTTATTTCCGATGCAAAGACCCTATAAGTGAATCAATATTAAAACCAAAATATGCCATCTTTAATGACCTGACAACAGTATAGTAACTATATCCCTTCTTAATAAGTCTGTTCAAAGGTTTTGTTAGTTTTAGAGGTGAATGCCGACATTTTTGTGCTTTGTAAAGAATATTACCATAAAAGATTGGATGTGAAATACCTGAACGTATAAGATGTCTGCATGTTGATTTATATTTACGAATGATGTCCTTGTACCGACGATAAAATTTAGTAAATGTTTTGACTAGTTTGTGATATCGAAAACCCTGGTGTAATAATTTTTCAGTAGTACATAGATTTCTTTCGCTAAAATCTAATACGTTGTTACATACAATAGGAAATGAAAAATCATCTCTTTTATCATAAATTTTAGTAAATGGTATCGTTCTGTATCAGCCATCCGTGATGATATCGATATCAGTCTCGGTCATAAGGCTTTATCACACCTAAACAGATTTAGAAATACATCTGTTTTAAGTATATAATAAAGTGTGTATGATATCATACCCCGTATCAGCCTTCGACCAATTTAATGCCTCTAGCAGAGATCTTGTATGTTAGGATCTTATGCCGTTTTGGGTTGATACCGGTGTGATATCGAAAAAGTTATATGATATTCTTTATTTATGTTTTTGGCATTTTTGCCCCGAGCGGTTACCTTGTCACTCAGAAATTTCACATTTGACACTTACAACATTTGCAGCTAGATCTGGATGGTCGGTTTGTAATCCATCGTCCACTACTGCAATGACTATACCAGAACCAGAGTAACCTGCTGACCAGGCGCTACTGACTTTCATTGTTGGGGTAACATCGTCATTCTGGAATGGATAATTCTGATTCTTATTTCTTTAACATTTCGTGTATTTAAACCAATGCTACCTAGATGATTTTTTCAGAACTTTCGAATACGTTCTGTTTTGAACGGCACGTATTCCAAAATAAGGAAAGTTAAAAAAAAATAAATGTCTATGGTATATTAATCATATGATAGTCTAATCATCTTAATGACGATGTTCTCATTTACCAGAGACACTATAAACATAAAAGAGCAGTGAATTCCTTTATATAAACCTATCATGTCTCACACTGACATTGCTTTCGAATTTTCCGGTTTATTTCTGCAAAAAAAAAAAAACACCAAAAGATATAACGGTTTTACAACCTACTATACATACCAATTTGAAGATATTAATATGTACAACAGACATTATCATAAGTATCTGGTCTCGTTTCTTTTTTTTCATTATCATTTTGCCAGAACTGCGAAAAATGTATATACAAACTTTTGGAAGAAAAATATGCCTGTGAGTATGATCTATTGTACGACATTTTGTAAATTTAAGAACCTACCAAATACCAAAGATTGTTCCATTCCGTATCCACAGTTTTTGGTACTCTGACATGACCTTTTTCTTGTTGAACCCATTTAATCTACAATTAAATATTAACCAATGTTGAGGACTTGCTACAAGCTTATTATCTGCATTAACCAAATTAAATGGTGGAGTCAAGATCGAACATACAGACTTTTGTGTTCGGAAAATCAATCGTAAGCCATTTTAAAGTATAGCGAGATTGGCAAAGTTTTTATGATTGATCGGAGAATATTTCTAGACATATTAATTCCAGCAATCTTGTGAACAATGCAGAGGAATATGATCTTCTAAAGGCTAAGTGTGCGTAACTGAACAAAGAATTGGGGATAACAGATATGAATTCGTAGTTACGCGAAATCTCATTTACAGTAGAAAATGAACTATTGATGCGAACATGCAGGTCTTGAACTTCTCTGGTCGGTTTACTGTAAACAAAAGTAGTCATCAAATCGCTGTACATTTTCAAAACCAAACTAATCAGGATCCTCTAGCCTTTGTCAGTCTTGTATTAATTTTAATTTTAGTTTCTTGTGTACAATTTGGAGTTTAGTATGGCGTTCATTATCACTGAACTAGTATATATATTTGTTTAGGGGCCAGCTGAAGGACGCCTCCGGGTGCGGGAATTTCTCGCTGCATTGAAGACCTGTTGGTGACCTTCTGCTGCTGTCTGTTCTATGGTCGGGTTGTTGTCTCTTTGGCACATTCCCCATTTCCATTCTCAATTTTATTTACATTCGATTCTTGATCATTACAATACACTTAGTTGTTCCCTTAGCACATGATTTGTGGACAGAATGACGTATTCTCGGAGGTTTTCTATGTGAATTTTTATATTACTCTGACGGAGACTTATTTGAAATACACTATTGCCTATAAAAGGAATATTTCCGATTGTAATACTGATATAACGTTATCCAAGTTACAAGATTGGACGATGTTCCTGTTCATGACAAAAAAACAGATGATTTCGACCACGTCCACATTTCATTTGGAAAAGAATATCTAATGGCAACCTTACTTGTATGATATAATATGATAACATGAAAAGCAGTCAAATAATCAAGATACATAACAATTTTGCATATCGCATAGTATACGTTACTTATCATGTTTGGTTTCGTTGCAGTTTTTATTATAATGTTAAAATTCTTTAGTATACAACTGTGGTTTCCTGGACTAAGACCCGTGTTGAAAGTGCATTAGCTTGACTCTGTTGGAAGTATAAATACGCACACAAAAAGTTTTTTTTTTCTTTTGTTAAGGAAAATGCAATAAACTATGATATAATAACTCAGTGGACGGATGCACAAAAACTTTGTATTACAAATACTAAATATCATTTAATTTCTCGAACTTCACTACTCGTTTTCAGTATGTCAATTTTCCATCTGTTGAGGATAATACATAACAAGTGTATTAATAAAAAAAAAAGTCAAAGCAAATAGATTGTGTATACTATATTTTTCTATAGATTGAAAACTCTGAACCTTTGCAGTTATTATTAACAGAACGAAAAATGCACACTTCCAATTTATCGCAAGTGTTCAACAGCGTTGTAAGCAACATCATTCTAAAATAAGATTAACTAAACATTGTCTCAAAATATAAATTGTACTTGTACACGTTAAGAAACATGAAGATTATGAAATGAACTTTGACGTTACATAAAAATGTATTTGACCGTGCCTTAGTAACTTTAAAAGTCTCGCTCAGAAGCTTTCTTCTTACTTCTTTATTTTGAAAAGATAAAAAGTAACATTTAATTTATTGACGTTTAGTTATAATTTAAACAAGTATTTCTTCATCGTAGAAAGAACACGAGGGTCTTGATGCGGGTCCTTCGTTTCTGTAATGTTTTCGTAATTTTTATCTATCCTTTATATTTTTGCCATTTAGTCTCTATTCTTTATTTTTAAAAACCAATCAATATATATTTGCATGAAACCAATAAGTAAAAGCCATCTTACTGACTTCATGCAAATAACAAACAGTAATAAATTATTATAGTGAGCTGTTATAGACCTGCAATCAATGTCAGCCAAAGTTAGTCCTAACGGATATGGAACCGCGGCATCATATTATGGGTAGTAAATGTAACCACGTGATAAGGGCGATAACCTAACTATCATAAATAGTCATTGTCTTACCTCTGGACTTCGTCTTAATATATTTACATCATTGTCTTCTCTGAGAGTACTCAGTTTTTCCTTTGTTCTTGTCTGTCGAATCTGTGCTTTGATATACACTTCTTGTCCTATCCGAAACTGAAATAATTCGTAAAACTACTAAACTACAATCAACAAAATATCTAAATTTCTAATGAAGTTTTATATCCAATGGGATCATACCCTACTATTTTTAAAATAAGATAAGGTTGTTTTCTTTTACCTTTGTATTGAATAATTTAAAACGAGAAAAAGAGAAAATTGCGAAAAAAATCTGGAAAATTAATCAATTCTAATGTTAACAATCTGTGTTTGCTGTGACCATTGTTAGAGGTGTACACTTAAGTGTAAGTGTATTTATGATAATTACTATGAAGTCCTTTTTTTCGGCAACGAATAATATAATTTATATCAAGAATGGACCACTGACATGCAAAATCACAAAAATATCAAAGGCAATAAAAAAAAATCGAAATGGAAGAAAAACACCCAATACCATTGTCAAATGAAAACAAAATAGGAACATAAAACAATGTCCACAAAACATAACATAGAAAACATAAAGAGCAAGAAAATCCTAGATGGTGAATTCCGGTGATCCGGAAGGGACAGAAGTTCCTCCTTCGTCAATATCACCCCTCGTGTAGCTCATGACAAAAATAATTCCGAGGATAAGTCGCATTCGATGTTTAATTCTTAGGGCATTTTCTTCATCTTTAAAAATAACGCTTATTCTGTAAGATTCTTATGAAAATGATTTTACTATTATTTTTTTCTGTAATTATATCATTTCTTTATTCTGTACAGCGTTCTAGTCTGTAAACTCCATCCAGACCCTCAGGTAAGCACACAGTATGCAAATGTATATCCAAAAGTGCAGTTAACAATTGCGTAGTACACAAAAACACATGTCATGCACTTTTACAGTTTTATAGTTAATTTTATGGGTATTACACCCGTTACATACTATTATAGAAAACCCTTAGCATCCGTGATGATAAAGATTAAATTTTTCGTTCCTTTGATCTTATAAATTTAAGATTCAGATTCAGATTCAATATTTTATTAAAGTCTCACCACTTGTATAACATTATACATTCCAATATACATATAAAACATTGCGTATAACATAAAATATTGAAAAACATATATTTGAGTTGTAGCTACAAGAAAAAAGATTGGATACATGTACATACGACAACTAAGTATAAGAACGTCTTTTTTATCATGCCATAAATTAAGCCCTAGAAAGGGGGGGTTTGAAATGAATATCCTGGCTGTTTTAGAGTTGAAAATGAATAATCTTGCACAAGACAGGATGAACATTAATATTAACACAAAATGTAGGAAACAATAGTGTACAAAAGTGAAAATAAACTTTCGTGAGGCGAAGCAGTGGAAAAAAATAAACATGCGTACCAACTAATGAAAATAAAAATAAATATTCGATCCGTCAAAAATTATCCTGCCTCCCCCCCCCCCCCTGATTATGTTAATATGTTGTTTTGTCCTGCAATTTAATATTGACGTTTAAGTGCCATGTAAATATAAATATTTTCGTTTGCCGGATATTTAATCTGCATGGTGACCTCCATAATGGAAAAATGCTGCGCACGACATTTCAAAACTGGTGTGCACCATTTTTGAAAGTCGTGCGCACCAGTTTTTGAAAGTCGTATACACCATTTTGAAGATGTCGAGCGCACGAGTTTAAGATGAAAAATATTTATTTCTCTCTGCTGTTGGTTTTAACACTATCAACAGCTTCAAAAGTATGTTATTTTACAGATTATATCCAGATCGCTTGTCTTTTTGCATTAATAAGGTCTATTTCCTTCTAAAAAAAAACATTGGCCACACCCTTCGACCAAAATATATTTGTTATAAACAGATGTATATGATTAGATATACATCCTAACAAACATGATGGTGGTCCATATGCATGTGGCCAATGTTGTTTGAACCAAAAACTAATAAATTATGCCAAAAATATAATCAAAACTATGGTTTTCTGTATATGAGGGCACAGTTACATTGTATGATGTCATACTAATAATTACAACTTTAAAACACTTAACCAATTCGATTGTTTGTCGACTTCTCAATGGGAAGTTCAACCTCCCCACCCCGACTGTTTTCGATAAACTTGTCTTGTATTTGTCGTTTGACCACTGATGAATCATAATACAGATTTTCAAAAGCGAATTTCAATATATAATGCCCATTCTTAACAGTCAGGCGGCAGTGTATTCTTGTACAAGTAGGAAGCCCTCCCCAGATATGTAAGTCATGATTCAATCTTGGTTTGTTTAAATGATATTCTTATGATTTCGGCACCGACCAAATGTTTTTTTTTCTTTGAGAAATTTCTCAAAAACTTACTATTTTTTCAACAGCATGTGCGAACATTTTTTTGAAGCCAACATGTTGTTACTAATTATTGTTTTCCTAATTTTCAAAGGAAACAAACTATAATTTTTTTCATTTCCCTCTTGTTTCTTAAGAAATTTAGTATTTATTTTTGAAAACAAGCTTTCACTTCCCCCCCCCCCCCCCCCCCCCCCCCCCCCCCACTAACACGAAAGGTAAATGATCGGGCCCTTTTATTATTACAAATAGGTTAATTGAAAGGAAAAAAATCAAATAGTTCGATATTATTCATTTTTATCAAATGTTACAATTTAAAAACATTGATATTATCGAAAAGTATATATATGAACCTAATCAATGAATAAAAAGAGTCCCGGAAATATATATTGTATTAATTCTAAGCATATTTTCAATGTTTTGATATGTTTTTTCTTGCATCTTTATATTTCAGTATAGGCTTTATTACATGTAGATAGAGTTATATATTATATGTTATATAAAATTTATCTTTGATCTAATATGCTTCTAGATTCTATATCTACATTTTATAATTCATGATGAGAGATGAACTTATTTAATAACTATAGATATTTCATTAACATTTTTTTTAATATAGGACGATATTGTAAATTCATTTTTGACACAAAAGCACTTGATAAAACTCTAAAAGCAAAAGAAAAACGCTTTTATTGTTGTTCTTCGTCTAACAGTTATTGAAACATACCTGCTCAATATAGTCAAATCGTGGATGTTCCTTATTAAACCATATTTTTGGATCGTCTTTTCTTGATGTTGTGAACACTATCCTGTCAGTAAATTCTCCATCTCTAAATTCTGATCTTTTAAAACCAGAAACAGAATGAAACAAGTATAAACTAAGAAGCGCAAAATAAATTTTCATTTTTTTTCAATTTAAAACAAATGTCCTTATTTAGTTATTCTCAGTTATTTATATATTATTTTTTTTTGAATTTGTCCCGTTGACAATCTGAATAAAGCAATGTTCTACTTTTACTGAAGATTTCTTAAATATCAATGTTTTTTTCTATAGTTATGAAGGGATATGCTTCAGGTACGGTACGTTTCTCCTTTAGTTTTGTCATTGGTTGATGAAATTTAAAACGTTATTTATTTATTATCGTAAGTGTTTTGTGCCAACATGAAATATCGTTTCAAGGACTTTATTTAATTCAATCATCTTATTTTTAGGGAGCTACCATTTGATTTTTATGGGGGGCTAGGATGAAAAATTTTGTCCTGCCTTTTTATTTTTCCCTCTGTTCGGTCCTGCCTTTTTATTTTTCACTCTATTCAGTCCTGCCTTTTTTTTTTTAATTTATCCTGACTTTTTTTTTACATAAATTGTCATCCTGCCTTTTTTTTTGCAAATAATCTCATCCTGCCTTTTTTTTACTCAAAACTCCTGTCCTGCCTATTTTTTTCAAATTTCATCCTAGCCCCCCCATAAAAATCAAATGGTAGCTCCCTTAGTTTGAAGCAATATTAACATTTTTATTCTTATTTTCTTACGACGTAATTCCGTTAAGATTTTTTCTGAATATTGCACAAAAATGTGTCTTCCAGTACTGCTTATGGCATTGCTTAACGGCCACCGTAACGATATCATTTCAATTTACATGTAGCAGGTTCAGTACTTTGAGGTTGTTTAAAGTAACTGCGAGTGTTATATGATACGGTATTGTTTAAAGTAACGGCGAGTGTTCTGTGATACGGTATTGTTTAAAGTAACTGCGAGTGTTCTATGATGCGGTATTGTTTAAAGTAACTGCGAGTGTTCTGTGATACGGTATTGTTTAAAGTAACTGCGAGTGTTCTGTGATACGGTATTGTTTAAAGTAACTGCGAGTGTTCAATGATGCGGTATTGTTTAAAGTAACTGCGAGTGTTCTATGATGCGGTATTGTTTGAAGTAACTGCGAGTGTTCTATGATGCGGTATTGTTTAAAGTAACTGCGAGTGTTCTATGATACGGTATTGTTTAAAATAACTGCGAGTGTTCTGTGATACGGTATTGTTTAAAGTAACTGCGAGTGTTCTATGATGCGGTATTGCTTAAAGTAACTGCGAGTGTTCTATGATACGGTATTGTTTCACGAGTACCTATTTTTTTGTTATTTATAAAACCGTTGTATTCAAGAGTAATTGGCTTTTTCTATAACGAAGCTATTGTACGTTATGTAATCGAGGAGATGTGGTCTGATTTCCAATGAGACAACTATCTACTAGAGACCATTGGACGGGGATGTAAAGAACTATACGTTACATGTACCAATGTAATTAAAATAAGATCCTGTTTCCACGCTTTGCTTGAAAGGATCCCATAATTTGTCGTGTGAATCTTATCATGATGTATATTTCCCATTTGGTAATAGTAATAGTAGTAAAAATTTTAATTGTAGTTTAAAGGTGCAATATCATCAAAATTTGACTGATACATGAAAACTTATATAGGAATCGAATTTACTTACATGAAGAGTAATTCTTTGTTCGATTGTTTGTTTTTTTTTAATAGAAAAGCAACTTCGATAGATAAAGCATCCCCTTTTCTGCATGGAGATAGATCACTACACTACAAACAATGTTGTTTTAGAAAATGTATCCCTATATTTCTATTGTAGATAGACCATGGATTATTTTACTGTGTAATATCCCCAAAATTCTGAACTACTAGACTTGCTAAGAACTGCTAGACTTGCTAAGAACTGCTAGACTTGCTAAAAACTGCTCATAGATTGAGTTCAAACCGTGCAAACAGTTTAAGCATATTACTACCAAGATAATTTTGATAACAATTATTTTACAGTAAAAATATCTGAGAAATAATGGAGATACAACACTATCAAAATATTTTTCTCTGAACTAACTAGATAAATCAGCTATTATAATCCAGTGAGAGTGTTGAGATAGAACAGTGTGGTTCTGATAAAAACTTGTAGTGTAAGAATTCTGGTATAATAGTTGTGAAGAGAGATAGACCATTGCACTCGAATATCAAGATTATATAATTATAGCCATCTCTATTTTTATCAAAAGTGGACATATAACACTATAATATTCACGCAACGAATTGTCTGTTCTTTTTTGTTTTGTTTGTTTTGGTAATTATTACATCAGCCAATGAATTTTAAGCCTTTAAATTTTCAAAGGTGTGTATCATTACGACAAAACCAGAAGGATTCCGAATGGTCTTTAAAACAGAAAATAAAACGGAGCGTTGTCAGATCTTTGTAAGCGAAGCGTGGATGCAGGGTTAACCCGAATAATTCAGTCCCTCCCCGTAATCGATCTCTCATACTTGTTAATGAAGTAATCGTAGATCAGTGAAATATAACGACTGAATTATTCGGGTTAATGCAGGGTCTATATTTCAATCAGATTGAATAGGAAACTGTACGGTCTTTAATACTCAAAACACTTACCGCATGGTAAGCTGGCATGACATTATGTTAAACAATTCAAAAGATAAAGCCAACGACCTGATTTATGCTAAAACAATAAATAAACCAAAATCAAATATGGCAGATATAGATGCATATGCCTATTTGTTAGTACATTGTACACTAATTGAGTTTTAAAACAAGAATGTGTCCATAGTACACGGATGCCCCACTCGCACTATCATTTTTTATGTTCAGTGGACCGTGAAATTGGGGTAAAAACTCTAATTTGGCATTAAAATTAGAAAGATCATATCATAGGGAACATGTGTACTAAGTTTCAAGTTGATTGGACTTCAACTTCAGCAAAAACTACCTTGACCAAAAAACTTAACCTGACTTGACCAAACACTTTAACCTGAAGCGGGACAGACGGACAGACGGACGAACGGACGAACGAACGAACGCACAGACCAGAAAACATAATGCCCCTACTACTATCGTAGGTGGGGCATAAAAAGGAGCTGATTGAGAGCTTAAAATAAATTGTTTAACCTGACCATATGTGTATGTACAAAACATTGCTGTTCGAAGTCAGTGGTTGTCCCTTTTATATCCTTAAGCTTTTCTGTTTATTAGGTATTTCCACTTTTCTTTGGAAAGACCTTTTGATTTTGATCTGATTTTTATTTTTTTTCCCAGCACTTTTAAATCTTACCAAACTTTTTTGATTCGCAAGATGTCGCTTAGAGGTATCTTCCTAGACACTGTTTTTCTTGCGTTTACTACTCCTCCGCAACCGTAAAAGATTATGAAAAAAATATTTTCCCAAATTGCTCGTAATATCCTCAGGATATCGAGAATGATTTTGATCAAAGCAGTCCGGAGACTCCATATGAGAGTTATTCCCTCTTATGTATTTGATATAAGTGATATGTATTTGTAACTTGTATACCATAAGTGATAGAGACCTAAGGTATTTGACTTTGAGGTCCATGGTCCAACGAAAAGACAATGAGGCCGAGATCAATACTAGTCAAGGTCAAACATGTATTCTTAATTTTGATTTGCCTTATTATCGCTTCCTCTCAGAATGGTATAAGATATCGACGAAATATTTTTACTAGATTGTTAGTTGCGACATTTCGTAACATATAAATTTTGGTTGAAAGGATATGTTGACATTTGATGGGAGTTTTCTCCTTCAGTTGTTGCATTTTTCACCTGTCTGGGTTCTACAACAGGTTTCAAGAATTTGTACCTGTCTGGGTTCTACCACATGTTCCAATCTGCAGACATATGACCTTACAGAAAGTCAACCGGAAGTATCAAATAGTATATGATATGTTAAATATAGATATATGTTCGTAGTATTTAATAAAATCACCTTTTTATGCTGAGGGGACACACCCGTTCTATAATTTTTGTGAAAATATTACAATGCCAAACTACTGGCTTTTATATTTTTGTCTTATCATTTTCATCATTTAGACAATTCTGGATTTACCTCTATAATTTTGAATATACATATAACTTTCTGTACATTGAAGTGAAAATAATTTACTGTTAGTATAAAGTTTAACACCGGCTTTCAAGACATAGAACCCTGCAGCTTCTTTATTCTTCTAAATTATTACATTTTGACTTGATTTGTGTATCTATTGTTAAAAAAATATAAATTATACGATTTCATTGTCAATTAATTTTTATGTTGGCTCCACTCTGTATCTATTTGACACGGCTGGTAGGTCAATGGATGACGGCATATTGGGTCTGTAAAATGCTATAACCAACACAGTGATAATTACACAAATGGAGACAATAGAACTCAATAGTATCACGATCATCAACGAGGGATTTGTTTTGTTAGACTCTGAAAAAAAAATTGTTCAACGTATAAATTCAGTGGAAAGATATCAGAAAGTTAAATGCTTTGCATTGTTTGAGAGTAAAGTGATTTTCTAAATACAAAAAAATAGTCTAACCAAGCCATATATTTTCCAGACACCTTTTTAGTTTTATGCTGTCTAAATGTGTTTTGGTTGTTTGTCTTCGTTAGGTTGCTTTCTCATTAACGTTTACCTGACATCCCCAATTATACTTTATTCAATATATGTTATACAGATTGGCTTTGAAAATAACTCAACTGTATAGGTTCGAAATCACAAAACAACTGAAATTCATTGCAAGGTGATTACCGATGATGATGTTTTGACTGTTTAAAGATTGATTGATTGATTGATTGGTTCACTGTTGGCTATTTCGTGGCGGCCAGTTTTAATTGGTTGAGGAAGCCGGAGTGCCCAGCGAGAACCACCGACTGTTCATTTCGCACTTTTCGTTAAACATAATAGCACTTTGTGTTTTCCTTTCTGACTTGTTGCGCTGTACATTTTTGTTTACGCTATACTTTTCTGTTTACGCTATACATTTTGTTTACGCTATACTTTTCTGTTTACGCTATACATTTTGTTTACGCTATACTTTTCTGTTTACGCTATACATTTTGTTTACGCTATACTTTTCTGTTTTCGCTATACATTTTGTTTACGCCATACTTTTCTGTTTACGATATACATTTTGTTTACGCTATACTTTTCTGTTTTCGCTATACATTTTGTTTACGCTATACTTTTCTGTTTTCGCTATACATTTTGTTTACGCTATACTTTTCTGTTTACGCTATACATTTTTTTACGCTATACTTTTCTGTTTACGCTATACATTTTGTTTACGCTATACTTTTCTGTTTACGCTATACATTTTGTTTACGCTATACTTTTCTGTGTTCGCTATACTTTTTTGTTTAAGCTATACTTTTCTGTTTACGCTATACATTTTGTTTACGCTATACTTACTTTTCTGTTTACGCTATACATTTTGTTTACGCTATACTTTTCTGTTTACGCTATACATTTTGTTTACGCTATACTTTTCTGTTTACGCTATACATTTTTGTCTACGCTATACTTTTCTGTTTTCGCTATACATTTTTGTTTAAGCTATACATTTTGTTTACGAAAAAAGAGAAGATACCAAGCGGACAATAAAAAAACAAAACAAATGATACCATGATTAAAAGACGAACAAACAAACAATACCGTGCTCAAAAGACTAACAAACAAACAAAAGAAAACAACACAAGAAAACTAAATATTTGAGCAACACAGCTCCACCAAAAACGGGTGGTCACCAGTTCCTGCTCGATGCCATTATTTATATAATAGTTATTGAAGAACAGGTCATTGTCGTGATATATGGACTGCCTACAGGACAGCGGTATTGACTAAGACAGCGATAATGACTGAGCCGTAGGCGAGGTCATTATCGCTGTCGTAGTCAATACCACTGTCCTACGGGCAGTTCATGTATCACGATAATGACCAGTTCTTCAATAACTATTATGTTTATTTCATTGAGGAACCATGCTTTTACAAATTCTCATAAATTCAAATTGTTCAAAGCAAACTCGAGTTATTGTACGATTTCTATAGGAAAGAGTGAAGACCAGTCATAGTGATAACTATAAGTCACTGCCATTCATTTAAGTGCAATTTTGCAGTATATTAATACAAAATAAAGTTTTCTATAATTTTATAATTCTTGTTGCTGAGTAGTTTGTCTCTATCAGCATCGGAAAGTACGGCAAAACGATAATTTACGTTGTCTGTAGCAGACGTGCCTTCCAGTTTAGCCATGATGTTCCAAACGTCTGAATCGCGATTGCGTTTTATCAAAGGGACATCACTCTAAACAGAGAAACCACGCCCCACTGTCATTAACATGTAAAAGTCCGTTAACGACCGGTTTTCTGGTCAGTTTTTTTCTGTTAAAGACCGATGCAATTTTTTACTAGAGAATAAAGAATGTCATGTGGCCCCTTGTTATCCAATAAGAGAAGCTAATTCTTAACCGATATGAAATAAACATAGTTATCAATCAGTTTCTTACCTTCATTAATACTAGCGTTTGTTCCATTTGTAGTCTCGCACTGACTGAGATTTTGTGAACAGTTAGTTTTATCTAATTTTATATCACAGTCTGTCTCGTTTGACATTGAAGTACAATTAGTCTTGTTTGTCTGTAGAGAAGAACAGTTTATATCGTCAGAACTTCCGGTACAATTACTAGAATTGAAACCTCCTTGATTATATTCTGTGATATTGTGAATATCGGTGTAGTTATTATACATGCATTCTGGATCTTTTTCAGTAGAATTGTTGGTACAGTTAGTGGAGTTTATTGTATTCACTCCATCTAGAGTTGTACCGTTATTGTCGTTAGTGTAGTTACTCTGATTTATTTCTGAGTCACAAACTTTGCTGGAAAAATTGTAAGTGCAGTTACTTGAGTTTGATTCCACTTCAAAGTCTGTACTGTTATCATATTCAGTAGAATTATTATGCTTTATTTCATCTTTTTGACAATCTGTCACATTTGAATCTCCAAGGCAGTTAGATTGACTTTTCTTTAATTCACAGTTTGCACCTGTGTAGTCTGCAGTGCAATTACAACTATAGTTGTAAAACACTTTTATGCACTTTCCGTTGTTTTCACAAGGTGTACTCGAACACTGATCAAAATCTGAAGCAAGGTACCATTTCATCATTTTTCATAGTTAGTGATGCAATACTATATACAAACAATTCACCAAAGTTTCATGAAAATTGGTTAACGTTTTTGAGTTATTGTCCGACATGTTGACGACTGACGGAGAGACAGACGGACGGACAAAGGTATATCATAATACATTCCGTAAACGGACGTATAGAAACTAGGAAAAAAGTAAAATAGACGCAATAATGCATTTTATACACATCACTGGCTTTCAAATATTCGGTTTTGAGCGTTCCTAATGAGGGTAAATCAAAAAAGCTCATCGGACGCATGAATTTATAAAATTTTATTTTCATTCTTTAATAGCACTTGGTCGATAGTATCGCTATCAGTCCCAGAGGGTATCACCAACTCAGTAGTCATCACGACGATAAGGTCATCATTTCTAACAAACCTCTCTTGAATTTTCCGTTTATAAATTTAGAAATTATGAAGAAACTAAGGTTTCAATTCCCTCAGGCAAAGTTTACCTCTGTTGGCTTTGTTTATCATTTTAAGGTCCTTTTGTGTCATATACCTCTCCAACTACTTCGGTTCTTATACATCCTTGCTTTTAAATATTCGGGTAAATCCAGAACAGCGCTTCGGACGCATGCAATTCATAAAGTGTTATTTTCATATTTTTCAGTTACATGAAATTCAACTTCAAAAATGCAGAAACTGTAGTCAATCGAGTCAGATATTTATACGGTGTTGTCTATTGCTAATGATTTGCATTTTACGTTAAAGTCTTGTAAACTTTTCTGAACACCTAATTAATGTTAATCTTGAAATGGTGTATTTTTTTTTTTTAATTAAAGACCTACCAGTTAAAAATGGTTTTTACCATTTCCAAAATCAACTCAATAGACGTACAAACGATATACATCTTTTCAGTGTTCTAGACAATTGCACAGTTGTTTATATTGGCAAGAGATAAGTTCACATACTCGGGTTTCCTTTTCAGCAATGAAATGAACTTCGTGTATTCGTAACTAACGTATTCTTATATACATACTTGCTAAAGGATTTGTCCGAGTACCATATAACGTAAGAAACCAGGAGTCCAATGTAACTTAAAAGAAGAGTTAAAATATCAGTTACACTACTTTCTCTACATGTTTCATTACATCATTAGCAAACATTTAGTTTAGATGACGCACAATTGGTCAGTTTCGTGGAAATGTCATTCCTCTTTTTTGACATAATTGAATGTGAATTATAACAAGATGTTTGACTTGTCAGGAGCAACATAACTGATGTCACTGGAGGAGTAGGAACTGCTTACCCTTCCGGAGCATTTGATCATGGTTGTCTGTCTGCACTCAGTTGTTCAATGGAATTTTCTTATTTTGTTTTGCAAGAACTTGAATTTAAAAAAAAAACTAGTCTAAAACGTCAGTTTTTCTCTGAAGAGGGAATTTATAACGGCATTTAGCCGTTATTTGTAGCAGTCATTTTAGTTAAGCCGGGTTCCAAATTTCTCGTGCATGACCTAGAACAATTTGATGCTTTTATCTATTGACACTTTTTATATATACATATGTCTTTAAATGACTTTAACGTTATGTTTGTTTTTTTTTTTAACATACAACTGCTAAAAAGATGGTAGTTACTATCTCTGTGCCTTTTCAAATAAATAACTAATTATACCTCTTGTAAATCCTTTATGTGATCTGAACTTCAATGTCCAATTACCAATGGGATTTTCTCCCCAATAATGAACCGACATAAAAGTCCAGGTAAGATTTCCTGCTTCTTGGTACTTAACAGCATCTTTCCCACGATTAGTTAAAAGATGACTTTCAGTGCCACTGGGCGACATCAGGAAAATCTCAGTCAAGCCTCGGTATCGATCATACGAAAATGAGACGGTAGCTGTCACATGTTCAATGTATGACAATGAACAATGTGTGGATGTAACAAGTGTTCTATCAACTGACATTTCATATGCCGTCGTCATACTAAAATATATAAGCAATACAAGTATTCAAATTTATCAATATCATGCTAGTTTATAATGCACTAAATTAATGTCAGCCGGAGTACTTTTATACAAATAATATATTAGTCTTAAATGGTTTCTGACGTCATGGTATAGAGAAAACACACAAGCAACAACAAAATACATATTACGCTTAAATGCATCTTATACTTATAAGGTTAAAAGCCCAATAGAGCTTATCTTATGTACTTTTTTGTATACCATGCTGACTCTAATAAAACTCATAAAGCTAAAATATATTATAAGGCGGCAATATATCTATTTAAACGTTTCTATCTTACTTCAGAATCACACACAAACACATGTATATATAATTCGCCTCAAATTCAGCCCAACAATGTTAGATCTGTAAATTTGCGTTCGCAAATTTTTGTTTTATCCCGCAGCGGGATTCGAACCCTTGCTTCTGTGACTTTGTGGCAACTCCGCCTGCACTGAGTCCAGCTCCCTAGACCACTCGTCCAACTAGGCTATATAAAATTAGCTTTCGTTAATCGAGTAATGCCTTTCTTCGTCGGCTTTATCTAGGTCTGTAACACAGTACATGATGTATAATGGCAAGTAGGATGGTATATCTTTCTGATCAGCTATGTTTGTTCGTCGTAAAGGGTGGTTATGTAATTGTAATTTTATTTAAATCAATATATATACGTCTAAACATGTGACAACTTTATGCATGAATTGCTTGCTATTGTGAATAAAATGAATTTGTTTTTTTACTCACATTTTGTGAAAATTTGTTTTTGTGACACAAGATAACTGTTCTGGGACATTAGTCCAGTTCCGTGCATAATATACCATATCAGCTGCATCCATTAGCCCAAATCCAAGGACTTGACTAACTATTAACAAAATATGAATCATAGAATTAATTTGGTGAAAGTACAACTCAATATAAAATAGCCTAAAAAACAGAATCATGACTTTATGTATCTATAATGCAATTCAAATTTTAACGTGACTCTGTACTTTAAAAGATCCCGTCATTATGTTATTGTTCTATTATATGTCATTATGTTATTGTTCTATTATATGTCATTATGTTATTGTTCTATTATAAATTTGAAAATACTTTGAACGACAAACGACAAATTTATTTTACTCGCGTAGTGGTATTAACCATATGTGGATTCTTAAAAATTCTACAGAACTTCTGGACAATTTTAAATCTCGGTCTATTTCTGAAATTAATTCTAACATAACTTTTGATTTTTTAACCCTGTATACCAACATTCCTCATGTGAAATTATAAAATTGTTTTGAATAAACATTGAACGACAAAATTTCTTCTTATGTGACGTTTACATTTTCTGACGTCAGACACGCGAAGCAATGAATGTGGTTTTTAATTTGATAGATGCTTTTGTGCTTTTTTGTAAATGATTGTTTGTTTTGATATTGTAACACAGTGATGACTGTTGTACCCATATTTTGACTATTTTATTTATTATGTCTGTTTTGTTCACGCATCGTTGTAAATATAACGGAATTTGATGAGACTGTCGTACAAGTGAGAGGTTTAGCGCTATAAAACCAGGTTCAATCCACCATTTTCTACATTTGAAAATGCCTGTACCAAGTCAGGAATATGACAGTTGTTGTCCATTCGTTTGATGTGTTTTGTCATTTGATTTTGCCATGTGATTAGGGACTTTCCGATTGAATTTTCCTCGGAGTTCAGTATTTTTGTGATTTTACTTTTTTCCAAAATTGTCTCTTTTTATACAATTATTAGTTCTATATAGATATAGGAAGATGTGGTATGAGTGCCAATGAGACAACTCTCCATCCAAGTTACAATTTATAAAAGTAAACCATTATAGGTCAAGGTACGGCCTTCAACACGGAGCATTGGCTCACACCGAACAGCAAGCTATAAAGGGCCCCAAAAAAATTACTAGTGTAAAACCATTCAAACGGAAAAACCAACGGTCTAATCTATATAAAAACGAGAAACGAGAAACACGTATGAACTACATAAACAGACGACAACTACTGTAATCAGATTCCTGACTTAGGACAGGTGCAAACATTTGCAGCGGGATTAAACGTTTTAATGGTACCAAACCTTCTCCCTTTTCTGAGACAATTATAGTATAACATCACAACATAGAAAAACACACTATAAAATATCAATTGGAAGGCTTAACTCAATCAAAAAACGTAAATTAACACACAATGAACGAATAAAATTGACCTGTGACACCTGAATGCAAATACACAGTTAATAAAAAATTACAAGGGATAAATAATTAAAGTCAAACGTAAATAAACAGGTTTAAACAAAGTTAAAGTATGATATCACTGTGAAATATCAAACAATTTTTAGAAAATCATCACTTTTGAAGAAACCTGCGTCATATTATACACAGGTAAATGAAAATAATTTTGTTGTAAAGTATGTATGTATTATTTTATTTGTCGTATGATCACGATGACTAGAAGTTTGTGTGATTTTTTCTCTCTGGTTCAACTTAGACTGACATAATCACAAACGTTTACATGTAAACTATGTAAAAGTTTCAAAGTAAATAGACCATCACTGAAGGAGCGGGGCCAAATAATATTCATGGAAATGAAATGCGCCGATGCTAATATAACTGCATACATATATCATTGACCTACCATTAGTGGTCTCACTTACACTGACCTAATCAAACGCTTATACATTGTTGACGCCGCCGCCGCCGCCACCGCCACCGCCGGAAACAGCACGGCTAAGTTACATTTTTTTCCACTTCGTGAAGGCGACACAAAAATCTCAAGTTACAGGAAAAAGACAACATCATGACAAATAAGAAAAACGACGAAAAGACAAAATGACAAAAAGCATTCTTCAGGTTACACAGAATAGTTAAGACCAGCATACGAACCCCATTCAAACCGAGTATGATCTCATGTGTTCTGGAAGGGTAGGCAGATCCATAAATATCACTGGACGTCAAACATCCATCAACCACTAATATATCGTATTAGTAGTGTTGAACATTCGACATCAGATCAAGGATGGTCTTGTGAGCTTCCATACATAATTCTGTATTTTAGAGATTTTAATTCTGTAACATTTTTTCTTTGATTCTCCTCTAGTCGTTACATTGGTTTTGATTTAAAAAAAAACTGTAAACCTGATCAAGATTTCAAAACTTATATACCTTCTTTATAAGCTCCATTTGTCTGCCACGAGGAATATGTATCATTCAAGTCATATATAGCAGACGATAACACAATTATATATTGTACATCTCTCCATGTTAAATTATTACTGAAATAAGTAGAAACAAATATAGACTGGTTTACATTATAATGGTATAATTTAAAATAATAGAACTTGAGAAATAAAAGCTTTGAAATAAAAATAACACTCTAAATTTCGTGCGATCTAAGCGCCTTTCTGGATTTACCTTCATGAGACAAGCTTAACCAAAACATTTAAAAGCCAGGGGTGTATAAATAAGTAGAGTCGTTGAGAGCCAGGGGTGTATAAATAAGTAGAATCGTTGAGAGCCAGGGGTGTATAAATATGTATAGAATCGTTGAGAGCCAGGGGTGTATAAATATGTATAGAATCGTTGAGAGCCAGGGGTGTATAAATAAGTAGAATTGTTGAGGGCCAGGGGTGAATAAATAAGTAGAATCGTTGAGAGCCAGGGGTGTATAAATATGTAGAATCGTTGATAGCCAGGGGTGTATAAATAAGTAGAATTGTTGAGAGCCAGGGGTGTATAAATAAGTAGAATTGTTGAGAGCCAGGGGTGTATAAATATGTATAGAATCGTTGAGAGCCAGGGGTGTATAAATATGTATAGAATCGTTGAGAGCCAGGGGTGTATAAATATGTATAGAATCGTTGAGAGCCAGGGGTGTATAAATAAGTAGAATTGTTGAGAGCCAGGGGTGAATAAATAAGTAGAATCGTTGAGAGCCAGGGGTGTATAAATATGTATAGAATCGTTGAGAGCCAGGGGTGTATAAATAAGTAGAATTGTTGAGAGCCAGGGGTGTATAAATAAGTAGAATCGTTGAGAGCCAGGGGTGTATAAATATGTATAGAATCGTTGAAAGCCAGGGGTGTATAAATAAGTAGAATTGTTGAGAGCCAGGGGTGTATAAATAAGTAGAATTGTTGAGAGCCAGGGGTGTATAAATAAGTAGAATCGTTGAGAGCCAGGGGTGTATAAATATGTATAGAATCGTTGAGAGCCAGGGGTGTATAAATAAGTAGAATTGTTGAGAGCCAGGGGTGTATAAATATGTATAGAATCGTTAAGAGCCAGGGGTGAATAAATAAGTAGAATCGTTGAGAGCCAGGGGTGTATAAATAAGTAGAATTGTTGAGAGCCAGGGGTGTATAAATATGTATAGAATCGTTGAGAGCCAGGGGTGTATAAATATGTATAGAATCGTTGAGAGCCAGGGGTGTATAAATATGTATAGAATCGTTGAGAGCCAGGGGTGTATAAATAAGTAGAATTGTTGAGAGCCAGGGGTGAATAAATAAGTAGAATCGTTGAGAGCCAGGGGTGTATAAATATGTATAGAATCGTTGAGAGCCAGGGGTGTATAAATAAGTAGAATTGTTGAGAGCCAGGGGTGTATAAATAAATAAGTAGAATCGTTGAGAGCCAGGGGTGTATAAATATGTATAGAATCGTTGAGAGCCAGGGGTGTATAAATAAGTAGAATTGTTGAGAGCCAGGGGTGTATAAATATGTAGAATCGTTGAGAGCCAGGGGTGTATAAATATGTATAGAATCGTTGAGAGCCAGGGGTGAATAAATAAGTAGAATCGTTGAGAGCCAGGGGTGTATAAATAAGTAGAATCGTTGAGAGCCAGGGGTGTATAAATATGTATAGAATCGTTGAGAGCCAGGGGTGTATAAATAAGTAGAATTGTTGAGAGCCAGGGGTGTATAAATATGTATAGAATCGTTGAGAGCCAGGGGTGTATAAATATGTATAGAATCGTTGAGAGCCAGGGGTGTATAAATATTTATAGAATCGTTGAGAGCCAGGGGTGAATAAATAAGTAGAATCGTTGAGAGCCAGGGGTGTATAAATAAGTAGAATCGTTGAGAGCCAGGGGTGTATAAATATGTATAGAATCGTTGAGAGCCAGGGGTGTATAAATAAGTAGAATTGTTGAGAGCCAGGGGTGTATAAATATGTATAGAATCGTTGAGAGCCAGGGGTGTATAAATATGTATAGAATCGTTGAGAGCCAGGGGTGTATAAATATGTATAGAATCGTTGAGAGCCAGGGGTGTATAAATAAGTAGAATTGTTGAGAGCCAGGGGTGTATAAATAAGTAGAATCGTTGAGAGCCAGGGGTGTATAAATATGTATAGAATCGTTGAGAGCCAGGGGTGTATAAATAAGTAGAATTGTTGAGAGCCAGGGGTGTATAAATAAGTAGAATTGTTGAGAGCCAGGGGTGTATAAATAAGTAGAATCGTTGAGAGCCAGGGGTGTATAAATATGTATAGAATCGTTGAGAGCCAGGGGTGTATAAATAAGTAGAATTGTTGAGAGCCAGGGGTGTATAAATATGTATAGAATCGTTGAGAGCCAGGGGTGAATAAATAAGTAGAATCGTTGAGAGCCAGGGGTGTATAAATAAGTAGAATTGTTGAGAGCCAGGGGTGTATAAATATGTATAGAATCGTTGAGAGCCAGGGGTGTATAAATATGTATAGAATCGTTGAGAGCCAGGGGTGTATAAATATTTATAGAATCGTTGAGAGCCAGGGGTGTATAAATAAGTAGAATTGTTGAGAGCCAGGGGTGAATAAATAAGTAGAATCGTTGAGAGCCAGGGGTGTATAAATATGTATAGAATCGTTGAGAGCCAGGGGTGTATAAATAAGTAGAATTGTTGAGAGCCAGGGGTGTATAAATAAGTAGAATCGCTGAGAGCCAGGGGTGTATAAATATGTAGAATCGTTGAGAGCCAGGGGTGTATAAATATGTAGAATTGTTGAGAGCCAAAAGACAAAAGGGACATAAATTTAAATAAGGTCAAATTTTCCCGGGGGAGATAAAACGAAGTTCGTTTGTTTGACTGCCGTTTTCGTTTGTACATTTGCTAATATCATATTCATATTCAAGTTCAAGTCGAAAACAAATTAATTTAAAGATAAATTAATCAAATGTCTAGTTATGGGTTTTATCTATTTTCATTTATCATATACTTAGATGTATACAACCATTGGCAATCCGTGATGATATCGATATCAGTCACGGTTGCAAACTTTTTAGGATATACATATCAAACCCCTAATATGTATGACGTCATGTCATCGATATCCGTCACGGTTACAATAGGTTTTATCAAACCCCTTATATATATATTATGTCATTTCACGTGAAAAACATTTACTTGAGAGGTATATGATAATGTGTATATGAAATGCCTTATCACACACCGTATCAATCCTCAACCAATATAATCCTTCGAGTCCTCTAAACTTTAAGTGTCTTAAGTTATCATAATAAAATACATCATAAAATAGAATACAACAAATTTAATTTACACTTAGTTTTTAAATTTCAATTAACTTTTATAATTGACGAGAGTGCAACCCAGTCATGATAATTTTAATGGAAAAAAAATATAAAAAAGTATATTTACTTACTTTGCTTGAAGAGCTAGAGCAATTATACCTGCGGCAATTGGACAGGAAAAAGACGTTCCTTCTATATATTCACTTGTGCAAGAGGAATTTATTGAAGTTGTGGTCTATGAAACAAAAATGACGTTACTAGAACTAAGATCCGAATACAAAGGTTCCGTTAAGAAGCCTCTTTTACGTTAAATCATCTTTATACATCATTTTATATTAACACACACTGAGGTAGGGAGGGGATGCTTTATTTCTGTAGATCAACTGTTCATGAAATGTTGAGTTATTCAAAACGCTAAGGTTTTTCTACCCCAAGGAAAATATTGCCTTAGTCGTAATTGACACACCTTTTTGGAATCGTCGATTTTTAATGCTCTTCACTTTCGTATTTGATTTGTTCTTCCAACTGTTTTGATTCGAGCGTCACTGGTGAGTCTTATGAAGACGAAATGCGGATTGTACCAAATTATAATCCTGATTTGATGAGTTTTATTGATAGTTATATGTTATTTAGATCGGCTGCATTGTCGTTATATGGGTAAAATCACAACACGCGTACGTATAGCATATACATGTATATACATTACTGTGTTTTTGTTTGTGTTATATGAGTTGTGTCATATTTAAGATCAACATTTCCATGCCAAAATGTGTGCACCATTGCAAACCATTTGATTTTATTTAAATGGGGTTTATACATTCTAAGACATGCTCATCCTGGCTGCGTATCTAGTCGATTGTCATTGTCTTGAGTTAAAGTTCTGAATTAAAAGGAACAATCAGCTACATGTAGTTTAGAATTTGAAGTTTATAAATTGTGTGATTATACTGAAACTTAGGTTAACTTTGAAATTCGCTTTAAATTGTGTGATTATACTGAAACTTAGGTTTGAAATTCACATAGGCTTAATTAACGAAGTTTACCGTTATTTCTAGGTCCTTTATGAGTAAATGCTTTCAAAATACTTGTCTGGCATTCCAAGGTATTCTTAAGTGTACCTGATGTATTGTTGTCCCTTGATCATGCGTTGTATCATATGATTGAATTATTGACTACATTTGTTTTTTTTATTTTTCCGTTCGGAACTCTAAAGAACAAGGGTACTTGAAAAACAAAACTTTATATATCTTACTAAGTATCTATCTTCCCTGCTGCCACCATACGTTGCTGCCAAGGCTGCAGAACATACCTCTGAATAGTATGCATTCTTCCCCGACTGGACCCCTGTAATACCTATGGTGTATATACTATTAACATAGCCGTCACCGTTACAGTTATCGTCTAACTCTCCATTACCTGCAGCCCAAACATATATAGAACCTTTACCATTTCTTCCCTAAAAAAAGAAAATACCAAGTGCAAAACACTAACCTGGAATCCTGATGAAATACTTTCGATTTCGGAAGCTTCAATTCAAATATATTCGAACCGGAAGTCCGCTTACGGTATCGAGAATATTGTGTCAGGATCCCAGACTATTCAAAAAAGTTTAAACTGTAATATTATTTTGCCTGTTCAACGTCAAGAACTTGGTCCGTGGTTGTTTAACCTTTTTGTGGTTTGAAATAGGTTTTGTCCTTACTGAAATTTGGTGTTGATGGTTGTTTTTATGTTCTGTGTAAAATTTAGTTTTTATATTAGAGCTCCAATAAGTACTGCCCTTGTATATAACCTTTATAATGTTTACCCTTAAAAAGAATAATTTGTAATATTTCCACTGGTAACAAACGCTTCTATATCTTTTATTCATTCTGAACATGCCTATATAACGCAGGTTTCTTCAAAAGTGATGATTTTCTATAAATTGTTTGAAATTTCAGAGTGATATCATACTTTAACTTTGTTTAAACCTGTTTATTTACTTTTGACTTTAATTATTTATCCCTTGTAATTTTTTATTAATTGTGTATTTGCATTCAGGAGTCACAGGTCAAATTTATTCGTTCATTGTGTGTTAATTTACGTTTTTTGATTGAGTTAAGCCTTCCAATTGATATTTTATAGTGTGTTTTTCTATGTTGTGATGTTATACTATTGTTTCAGAAAAGGGAGAAGGTTTGGTACCATTAAAACGTTTAATCCCGCTCCAAATGTTTGCACCTGTCCTAAGTCAGGAATCTGATTACAGTAGTTGTCGTCTGTTTATGTAGTTCATACGTGTTTCTCGTTTCTCGTTTTTATATAGATTAGACCGTTGGTTTTTCCGTTTGAATGGTTTTACACTAGTAATTTTTTTGGGGCCCTTTATAGCTTGCTGTTCGGTATGAGCCAATGCTCCGTGTTGAAGGCCGTACCTTGACCTATAATGGTTTACTTTAATAAATTGTAACTTGGATGGAGAGCTGTCTCATTGGCACTCATACCACATCTTCCTATATCTATACTCTATCATGTTAATATAAGGTCATAAAATAACTTTCACCATAACAAAAGAGGCGAAGTATACCAAAGGGACATTCAAACTCATAAGTCGAAAATAAACTAAACGCCATGGCTAAAAAAGAAAAAGACAAACAGACAAAGTACACAAAACACAACATAGAAAACCAAAGACTAAGTAACACGATCCTGCTCCACATGTGGCACCCGTCGTGTTGCTCATGTTAATACAAACCCGGTGATAAGTGTAAACTTACCGTGCTGATACCCTCTCTGATGGCCTCTGTAGCTAATGTTCCTAACGTAGAGAATCCGTATCCATCTGGTGGTCCCCAGCTTATACTGTATATATCTACTCCGTGGACATAGTGCCTTAGACTTTGAGCTTCCTCTACATCAGTTACCCCGGGACCTCCAATTACACGTACACCTTAAACATAGAGTAGAAAATTACTTGAAATGCTATATTCAGTTATGGCGAATATTCACACTGAATTTCTTTGATCTTTAGGATTACCTCCAAAGAGTCATATAGTCTGTACTCGAATTAAACAGTATTTCATTTTATGTGTGATCTCTGATGAGACAATCGTTTTACAAGTTTATCTAGTATTTTTTAACATTTAATGAAATTGTTAACTCACATAAATGTCTCAAAACTCAAATATGGGTTCTTTTAAAGAATTATCCAAAAGGAATAATTAGGACGAAAATTATGAACCCTCAGGTTTCAGTGTGATTATTTATTATGCCAATTGTCCCTCCATTCAGTATTTAGTGAACATATGATGTCTATTATACACATAAATTGGCTGCAAACATGATTATTTGATCCTACATTCCAATTTGGTTTCATGGTTATATCTTTTGGAAATGTTGATCAATCTTCGATGTGTATTTTTTACTAAACTTTTCAATATCTAAATTCCAGCAGGTTTCATCAATTTCCAATATTGCCTTTGCAAGTGAAAGACAATCAAGAGAAATCGTCAAAATCGTTATTTCAGAAATGGACTCACTGCAAGTATCTTACTATTAATTTCACGTTCATTACATGACGAAAACCTCAAAATTTTAAAGAATTCAAGGGAAGAAATCAATACTTTTTATTGTCAAAAGTTATGTTTCCTTCATTATTTAATACATGAACGAACCATTGACTAGATGCTTATTTTGAACAATCTTACCAAGTATTGTTGATCCATATGCAACGCCAACAGAGCATTGGCCATTATCCTTCTCTGCTGCTAGTAAGCCAGATATCTGTGTACCATGACTTAAATATCAAATTCAAATATATTAAAAACAAAATATTAGTTTGTTCTGCACACAGATATCTATTCTGACCTTTATTAAAAAACGCAAAATTATTCATAATAAAAAATTAAGTACACAACTTGAAGATTTAGCGTCAAGCTTGTTTGATCTATTAAACAAGAATACGCTATTAAGTGCACACGGGCAGTATGTTTAATTGATTGCAATTCACATTAATTTCATTGGCTGTTTTTCCTTCAATCCGTACGCTGGTTCATTTGAGGTATAGAACCACTAATTTGGGCCCGGTCAGAAAGAACATACCAGAAAGCAAGACATATTTTAAACAAAATAGTTCCTACGCATAGCTGTAACTTTGTCAATAAGTAAAATATTTGGGTAATTTTGGTATTAAATAAAAGCTAAAGGACTTGGCTTCACTGTAGAACCCTTGTTGAAAGTTTATTTTGAATAATAGAAAAAATATAATTTTTATGAAATAGGAGGGCACATTTGCTCTGTTGTTCAGATCAGGAGTACCCGTTTTCGTACTACCAAACTTCCGGGAACCAGTGCGTTCTAATATACAATTAAAGGTAATTTGAGTTGAATTTTTCAGCACAAGTCAGGAATAGGTATAGTTTTGACATGAAATGACTGCTACTTTATTTGAACTTAAGACAAAGTTGCAATTTAACGATAAAAAATAACATAGAAAGCAATATGGGCTATGAATTAGTGGTTTATTAGTGATTGCTGAATATGAATGACCGCGGGGCTCATCAGATAACAGTTAATGAACATTCATTTAAGATAGAATTATAACAAAACACAATTATTAAAGTATTTTACCATGACAAACATGAATATCAACATAATATTGTTTATTTTTCAAACATGTTGAAGTGTGGTAATTGTCAATAAAGAGACATTTCTGTGAGGAAATATTGTTATAATTTAAAATTCAGTTGGGAAATTACCACATTACCACGTTGTGTATGGAGGGAGGGTGTTTGTGTTTGTTTTAAGCGTTTAATATCTCTACCTGTCAAATTGGTTAGCAGGACTTGGATCGTCATCATCATCATAATAATCGTAATCTTTATCTGTATCCTAGGAAACACATACAATTGTGTTTTAAACATGAATGAATACAATAAAGGAACCTTCCTTATATCAGGGAAGCAGTAATTTGTATTAATTATTGTGTTTCTTAATTGTATAGAGATGGACTGTTGAAACTCAGATTACGCGTTATCTATAGACACAACAACTGCTTTTGAAGGTACATTTACATATCTAATTCTTTATTATCATAAGGCATTTACTTTCAAAAATATACCTAGCATTCATTTATTTAATATAATGGATAAAAAATGGATGAATTATAAATATCCAATGGCAAATATTACATATGAATAACAGGATGTGTTAGCTATAAGCAAACGAAACACGACAGCAACACAACGACAAACAAATAAAAGACATCTAGAGGGCATGATGCAGTCTAAAAACTACACATGTGTTTATAAAATTAAAAATAAGAAAATGTGATATGATTGCCAATGAGACAACTCTTCACCAGACACCAAATGACATAGGAGCTAACTACTATAGGTCATCGTACGGCCTTCAACAATGACCAAACCCATACCGCACATTGAGCTATAAAAGTACCAAAAATGACAACGGTTAAACAATTCAAACGGGGAAAACTAACGACCTGATTTAAGTACAACACAATAAAAAAACCAAATATTATAAACAAAAACAAAAGACTTGGGACAGGCACATTCAGAATGTGGCGGGGTTGAACATGTTTCATGGCTCCGAACCCTTTCCTAACTTGTGACAGTTGTGTAACAGTATGACACAAATGGGGAATGGGTCCATGGGACACAGATGATGTCCCCACTTGCATATAAAGTTATAAAGGGGCATAACTCAACAATGGTAAAAGTGAAGCTACACAAATTCGAACTTGATCTGTGTTTTGTGGTAATAAGCATTTTGTATCAGTTTAATAACAATTGGTAGAGGCAAACTAAAGTTGGAGAACGGAAACCAATTTTGGGACGTACGTACGGACGGACAAAGGTGACACTGAATGCCCCCTCCGGATAACCCTAAAACAGATTCTGATAGTTTCGCATGTGGAGCAGGATTTGCTCACCCTTCCGAAGCACCTGAGATCACACTCAGTTTTAAAAGCAATGGCAATAAAAGAAAAAGACCAAAAGTAAAATAACAGTACTAGTATACAAAACTATACTGAGCAACACGAATCCCACCCAAAACTGGGGGTGATCTCAGGTGCTTCGGAAGGGTGAGCAGATCCTGCTCCACATGCAAAACTATCAGAACCTGTTTTAGGGTTATCCTGTCAGATTAGTTCTAGTTAGAACTATCAGTTTGTGTTGACTATACTTAAATTAAAAAACACTATTCCTTGAATGCGATGCTTTGCTTTTGCGCAAATTAGCATTTCATTTTCACTAGAAAATCGTTCATTTGCGCCACAAACTCTATTTCATGTGCGCCCAATTACTATATTTCATTTTGCGCAATTAATACAGGTAAAAAGTATAAATTATAGATCTACATCAGCCTTTAAAATGATACCACAATAATTTTGATAGCATAGTATAACATATTAATCATAAATCACCATTCATCATTAAACCAACATGAAAACATTAAACACTGATTTGTTTTCTTGAAATGCTGAGATTTAACTTTTTGCTGCATGGTCTTAACCGTGGTTGACTGTCTGCATGGTCTTAACCGTGGTTGACTGTATCATTCAATGTTTTTGCAGTCCACATCTATTGTGATTCTGGCTAAGCAGCTTTTTGGGGTAAATCTATACAATTTGTCTTCGTTTTTTAATACATTAGACATCCTAAATGTGAGGTGTTTTATAAAATTACAGACTCATTTCCTCCTGTATTGGTCTACAAATGAATTATGCCCATTTTGTCACCTCTAACATGTGAACACTATACACTTTCATACCTTTAAGTTGCTCTCAGTTCTGTATGAGAAATGGGTATGAATTCGCCTACTAACACATGGCGATACTCTACAACATTTCATTACGTGTACAACTGAAAAACCGTTTCCATTATATTTTACCTGTAAATTGGCGCAAAAGCAGTATTTATATTTTTGGCGCAAATGAAATACAGCATTTTTTTTAAATTGCGCAAATGCAATGCAATACCCCCCCCCCCCCCCTTGAATGCCAACGTATTTTTAAAAGTGTAGGTTGTAATAGTTGTGCTATATTTAAAAGTATACCACATTATCATCGATATCTGGATGACTGGTTTCCACTCCGTCGTCTACGACAGCTATGACCACTCCGTCTCCAGTATATCCTGCTGACCATGCCTTCGATATCCTCATCGATGGCACTATCTCGTCATTCTTTCAAAATTGAATAATCACATAACATGTATGTTTCATCAGAATCTGTAATTCTGATAAAAGACCATAATGGTAAGGTATTCCAAAGTTATATTTAATTTCCGAATAAAATTCCATGTTCATGACTGTACGTTAACATCACAACAATGCATAGGAAAACAAAATCGTAATTAAAAAGAAATTGATAAAATAAGAATTGAATGGTTCTTTTTGTAATGGTATACTGGTTGTAAAAGCGTTGATCGTGCGCACATTACTAATATAAAGCACTTTGAAATTCGTGTTTCATACAAACTATACTTCGGTCAATGCTTTTATACCCTTATAAAATTACAAAATAAGCATTTAATTCTTAAATAAAACTTTGAAGTAGTGGATTTTAAGCTACTCTTCTAATAGAAATTTGAAATATATTTTCTAGTTTTCTTTCTGCCAGTACTTCCACACATTTCAAATTTGACATGTGAGAACTTTTTAACTCGAGCGCACGACTTTGAAACTGGTGCACACGACATTAAACAAATCGAGCAAACGACATTAAAAAAATCGAGAGCACGATTTTCCAAAAAATACATGTAGCACGAACTAATTTGAAATCCTGTTTAGACCTGGTGCTCAAGAGTTTAGGTCTAGTGGGCATGAATTTCAGTCTGGTAAGCAAGCCCTTTAAACTGGTATGCAAGACTTCCAAACTCTCCGCTTAAGTTTCAATCCGGTTCACAAACATTTCAACCTCATGCACACGAGTGCAACTTTAAAACTGGACTTGCTCCATTGAACAAAAAAATGGAAAAAATCAAAATTTAAATGATTAAGCAATATAAAATCTTCCTTTTACAATGTAGTTCAAAGTTTTTTTTTTAATTCTGTAATATCTTCAAACTAAAAATCAAATATAGTATGATATTTTGACGTATAAGTAAAGTATGTTTCGAAGTTTAGTGTGACGTCCATTTTCGCTGAACAGTATACGTTATTGTTAAGAGGCCAGCTGAAGCCCACCTCCGGGTGCGGGATTTTCTCGCTGTGTTGAAGACCCATTGATGGCCGTAAGCTGTTTTCTACTCTTTGGTCGGGTTGTAGTCGTTTCCATTCTCAATTGCATAAGCTACTTTTCAGATCAAAGTTGCATATGTATACTTTAAAATATATATGTAAGTACAAATCATTTGTTAACAGTTATTGCGAAAATATTAATAAGCCAAAAGCGTTTGCACAGTCATTACAGTGGACAATATTTCTTTAAATTTAAAGTTTGTACAGTGTTATTTCTACATACTAAATGCCACGAACTGTTCCACTCTGGGTCATTACTCCTCTTAACTCTATCACGTCTGATTTGTTGTTCTACAAAAATAATCTGAAATGACAGAAAAAATGCATTGTGACTTGGATGGAGAGTTGTCTCATTGGCACTCATACCACATCTTCTTATTTATATTGAATACGTGAATACACATCGGCACTAAAAATACAGATGAGCAGTTACAAAAACAAAAAGGAAGTGCCCCGGGATAAAGTGTCGGTGTTATAACACCTGCTTGCGATCGATAAAAAAAATGGTGCTAACTTAATTAGTCAAAATAATTCTTTCTTCCGATTGTCTGTCGATACTGACTTCCGATGGTCTGTCGATACTGACTTTCGATGGTCTGTCGATACTGACTTCCGATGATCTGTCGATACTGACTTCCGATGGTCTGTCGTTTTAAAAAACTAACTGATCTCTATTTGAATTAATTTATGAGGAAACTTCATTAAAACTGTTAAATGCATTGTTTAAGATTTTCATTAAAGGTCAGGATTGAACCAACATACCGTGGCTACCTTATTAGCTTCCTGTTTTAGTAATTACATTTTAGACCATGAAATCTAAATTACATGTATGAGAGTTTCCTTGACTGGGGAAAAGAAATACGATCACCACTGTACTTCTACATTCCGAAATTCACGTAAAACCCGTGCTAAAGAAGGGCATCGGTTTGACTACGCATGATGTATAGAGGAAGCCACGTCTTGTCGGAATAGGTAGTATATGGATTCTTCAACCTTTAAACCTAAGTGGAATAATACTTTGACAATATAAATATTATACTTGAATGAGTGATCAAATTTAGGAACAATAATCTGTTTGTACAATGGTTTTTAATATCTTGTTTGATCTTTATCGTCCATTTATCAAATTATATTGTATGAAGTTGAAGTAAAATGTATTTAGATGCACACACGAATAAATCCTACGTATAATCAGAGACATATATACACATGTTTATATATGTCTCTGGTATAATCAAGTCATTCAATATCAAACTATGTGTTGGCGTTACCTTCTTTAGTCGTATTTTGATCGTAACATGTTAATGGACATATTTTTTTCATTTATTAAATTTTGGACTAAGTGATGTTTTTTTTTAAATTAGAAATGTACTTTACACCTTCAGATTTCTCAGTGACTAATCGTGTGCATGAACGTTTTGAGATAATTATAATTATACTTACATTTTTATCATTCTTTAACCTTTTTAATGACTCCAATTGCAACAATGGCTTCTCCATATTTTGTACTTTTCTTATTGTTAAAATATAGTACTGTTTATGGTTTATCTGAAACTGAACAAAAACTGACCATTTGATCTAAAACGTATTTTTATTGGAGTTCATCATGCAAAGTTTACAGTTGCACTGCTGCCTGTTACTCGCATTCAGTGTGATTATTTATGCCATAAATGTAGTCCCGGGACTGATTTTGTCTTATGATTTTCCTCGTTTTTATATGTAGCTGCAAAACACATAAACATTACCAACTGACTTGAATTTTAAAACGCTCGACGGGAGTTGCCTCTAGATCAGACACACCAGTGTCTCGAATCAAACCAGTTGGAAGGCAACATTAATTACGTAGACCATTGAATAGTAAAAAATCCAAAAGTTTTACATTTGTTTTCAATTTTTGGTATTCGTTCTATCTTTTTAACAATTTTCAAATGTACGCAGGCTCTCAATATGTCTATTAGTAAAATAAGATACCGATATAGCGTGCGCACTATACTAGCGCCTGAAGAAGAAAAAAAAAGATAAAAAGCATAAAAAGAGCATAAAAACCTATAAATAGAACATCAAAATCCGTCTGTGTTTCAAACTGAATTTTAGAACAATACTAGATGAGTTGTTATGTCCTTTAAAATAGATAACCAATGATAATCTCTGATCTGCACAGTAGAGTGATGTACACAAAGATTATTGTATTCCAATATAAACGTTTGTTTTTGTTTCCGCAGGTAGTGAGTATACAATGAGGAGATGTTGTATGACTGCCAATGATACAAATATCCCTCAGAGACCAAACGACAAAGATTTAAACAACTATCCATCAGTGTCCAAATGACAAGGATTTAAACAACCATCCCTCAGAGTTCAAATGACAAGGATTTCAACAACCATCCCTCAGAGTTCAATTGACAAGGATTTAAACAACTATCCCTCAGAGTCCACATGACTGGGATTTAAACAACTAGCCCTTAGAGTCCAAATGACAAGCCTCATAGTCAAAATGACAAGGATTTAAACAACTATCCGTTAGAGTTCATATGATAAGGATTTAAATCACTATCCCTTATAGTCCAGATGGCAAGGATTTATACAGCTAAATGTCGTCGGTCTTCAACAATCAGTAAAATCCATTCCGTATAGTCAGCAATAAAGAACCCAACATGAAAAATATGAAACAATTCAAACAAAACCAACGGCATGTTCTGAAAATGATAAACGAAAAACAATGGGACACACAGTAACGAACGACAACCACCGAATAACAGGCGCCTGACTTGGGACAGGCACATGTATAATGAGGCGGGATTAAACAAGTTTGTGAGCGCTCAACCCACCCCTAACCCAGAACAGTTTGTAAATGTGAGGGTCGATCCAAGAAGAACGATGCCGTACAATTGATAAGATGATGATGATGGATGGCTGCTTAACGTCCAGCGATAAAAATCAATATGCATATTCCGGAAGAGAACACGGTAATGTAATATGAATACTTACTCTGCTTTGTACTAGACAGACACACTAAGTCGGGTTTTTAACGTGTGAGTTCACAAGGTAACAGTTCGCAGGAAGACATGTCACCTTACCTGGACACATTATTTTGACTTCGAGCCGACTATAGTCTTCGCTCTTACTCCTTAATGCTGCCTTGTTAGCGGAGAAGCAGCAAATACCAATTTTAAATTCTTTTGTTTGACCCGGTCGGGGTTCGAACCCACGATTTCCCGCGCACGAGGCGAACACGCTACCACGAGACCACCGAGGCGATTGAGTCTACATTTAGATATTTACCTTCTTCTTGACAACTAAGCCAGAATGACGTCGTAAGTTGTTGTACGCTTCAGGGTCTGTAGATAATCTCACGACTACAGTATTTGTGATTTCTTCTGAATAAGTGTGACTTAAAGCCACTAGGATGAATACTATACACTGTATTACCATTTTTAATAGAACATGAAACTTTCACTAGAGTAGGACATAAATGCAAACTTAATTTAGAAGATAGGAGTAAAGTAATTGTATGATTGTTTAACTGTGAATAGATTTTTTTTTAAAGTAAAGTTTAAAGTCTGTTAAATCGATCACCTTTTGTTAGCAAATATAATTTCTTTTCAAAGTGCAAAATTCAATAATCGAAAAAAATGTGAATAAACAGTCTCAAGAACAGACATCGTGTAATTTAAATTTCTGTTACTTCTGACAAAAAAACGATATGCATTATTTACACTATTCTACTTATATCAGAATAGATGTTGGTATTGCTATATATATAACCATAATGAGGATGTATGGTATTAGCCATTTTTAGACCCTAAAATTGCAAAAATAGTAAAACAATGTTCAATACTTTAGAAATAATGTTCAATATAAGTCATTATTTATCAATAAATATGATAATTTAGTAGGACCACGCAAGCGCAAAATACAGGAAACCGTTCGGTATGTCATTGAAATCAAACACATGTATAAATTCGCCGTTTCATATTCTAATGAATTCTGGGTAATATTTTCAAAAGCGTACACCAAAACGTTGTGATTGGTTTAAAACGTACTAAACAATGTAAATTTAACCAATGACGTAGCGTTATTTTCATTTTGGGGTACGAACAATACAATTACCCATAGTCCTTTAGATTATGAAACGGTAAATTGACAAAGGGGTAGTTGAACTTATATCGAAATATCATAGCTGTAAACATACTTTTTAGATAAACTGAATATCATGTAAACAAGTCATATGATTTCAACAGATACATGTATCAATTGATAACTCGAGACTTTAAAAAAAAGTTTATTGGTGACAGATTTATATTACATGTACTTTTATAAATAATTATGATTTCTGCAATTAAAGGATGTTTGCTACTCTGTTTAAAAAAAACAAGCTTTTTAAAAGACTATTCCAAAATGATAGTATATAAATAAAGGAACTAAAAAAGCAGAAAAAAATGAAGGGTCCGTTAGCTTGTTTTCGAGATATAAGCCATTGAAAATTTGGCGGGAAATGATTCTCTCTAGATTTTTCATTCTTTTAACTTTGCCGCTTTTTTGTTTCAAAAACTATGAAAAAAATAACAAGGATTTTATAAGACTTTCAAATATGGCTTTTTAAACTATATGTAATAAAATTATGAAAAGAAAAGTAGGGGTTAGTGGGCAAAATTTTTTAATGGCAATACATGGATAAAACCAGAGGATTCCGAAAATCTGTCAAAAATTCAAAAACAAAAGAAGCAAACAGCCTTCAGTCTACTTTTTGCTAGATTTTTGTATTTATAAAAATGAAAATCATGTATAAAGCTTTCCTGAATAAACTCTTTTCCCAGGGTATATTCTAAATTTCAAACTCCTCGCCCGATTGACTCACGTGGTAACATATATTTATTGCGTTAAGATTGTTTTAAAATAATGTTCTCGTCCTAAATATGAATGAACTATTTGCAACTGAACGTTAAGTTAAAAACAACAATCAATCAATAATTTAACTTGATATGTTGTAACTCCTCCGACTGTTTCTCTGCTAAACATTAAAAGGTTTTTTCCTTCACGTCTCTTTTTTCCATCACCATATACAATATTTGTTTACAAATAACATCTCGCATATAAATCTATTGATACATACAATTGAACATTCATTGTTAACCATACATTTCATATAAAACAGAACAACATTGTTCCCAGTAACTAATTGCATATATCTGACAAACAAACAAACACAGATATCTATATTTTCCAAAATGTTCATGTACTTTACATTCATCCTTGATTAATATAAAGACGTCATTACCGAACATCCTTGATTGATCTTTTTTAA